GCTCTTTTGCTGCTTTCTGTTAAGGATTTTAATTACGCCTTCCTACCTACCATTTTACTCCAGCTCTGTCAGCTTTGTAAGGAAATCTCTGTTAGTTACTGTACAGAAGGGATGCATAAAACACCGAACCTGACTGTTCTGAAATCCCGCCAATTCACAAAATTTAGGGGTTGTCATCATGATGGATTTTTAAATAAAATTTAAAACCAACATTTTGTCATTCGGGGATATGAATCCATTTTTATATATATATACGGTTGAATGTCTTGCCACCAACCAGTGGTCAATAGGAAGCCTTCTTGGCAGCTGCCTCTTACCCAGAGAAAATGAGATCAGTCACTGGCTGCTTTAGTTTGTGGGAGAGAGCAGAATCTGAGGGACCTGCAGCTGAAAGGAAAAGCCTGGAGCACAGAAGGGTGTCATCAAGAAAACACGTTTCAAACTGGGCCAGCTGTGGAAATTCCAAGGCCTGCGCCGGCTGTGAGAAGAGGGGAGCCACTCGTTACGACAACTTCCAGGAAATATTGGTAAGGCTTTCTTCGGAGGAAAATGTTGAATCATCTTTTATTGCCCTCACTGAGCTCCAGAACTGCACTGGAGGCCAAGGAAAAATCTACTGAGCGCTGGCCCTCTTCCACTCCCAGCTGCATCTCAGCTGTGCCTCTGTGAGGCCTGGGGCCAGACGATGATCCCCACACAGTGCACACGTAGCACAGCTCTTCGCCCTGCTGAACTGGAGAGGCACGTCCTGCAGCTCTTCTTCTGTGCCTGAACCTGCCTCTGACAGAGCCCTCATCTGTACAATGGAATTAGTCATCAGCTTTCAAAATACACACTCACAGAGGAGAACTCTGCTTTAGCAGGACAGATGGGCAGATAACCTAATTTTCCTTTTCAGCTTTGACAACTCTCTAGACAGGCAGACCATGCACATCTATTCTGGAGCACTACTGTTCTAATAAAACCAAGCCGAATGGCTGCAGGCTACCAGGAGGATTGCAAACACAGCGTGATTGATAGAGTGTGCCATTACCTTGCTGCCTTCCTGCATGGGGAAAAGCATTTAGTTCTGTCGCCTGCAGTACACCTTGCACATCAGTTCTCGTGTGATCTAATTCAACAAATGACCCTTCTTGCAAATACCCAGTTACGGTGCTGTTCCTTCTAAGGGGAAATCATGCCTGAGCCAGAAGAGGAACACGTCAAGCTAAAAAACTCAAATTGTGTTGATTAGATCCATTTCAGATGATTTATATCAAGCTAAAAAAATGAATAATCAAGAAGAGACTGAACCATTGCTGAAGCTGATTCCCTGTGACCTATAGAGTGATGTGATCTTTGGATCAACAAACAACTAGTCAGGAAGGAATTGGAAGAAAGAGCAGAATGTGCTCCTCTTCTTCCTAACCTCTCTTATTTTCCTTGTGTTTCCTGTTGAAGGCTGGAAATTTTGAGAACACCATCTGTCCTCTGTCCAGCTTCAAGTCCAGGTGGCAGAGCGTGTACATGTACACTATACAATGCACATAGACAGAGCATAAACAAAGAATCTGAGCAAACTCTCGATAGTTTAAACTGGCTTTTTTGCTAATGCCTTTTTTTCTGCTTGTGTTGTTGTTTCCTGTTTATGTGCAGGGTTTCTGGATGCTTTGCACAAAAAGTACTTTACTCAATTAAAAATAATGCCTGAGCATTTCCAGGTCCTGTCTTTTGTGTTTTAAGGATTTCTGCATTCTGTAATTTACTGAGCAGACCTTTCCTGCCAGCCCGGTTAAGCTCTGCAACAGCCCAGGAAAGTCTGAGGTGTGCACTGCCACGCCTCCTGCCAACAGGAGGCAACAGGCACACTTGGCAGCGTGGGTCTGTGTGTGTGGAACTGTCAGCAGTATTTTTCCCAGAAAAACTGAACCAGAGGCTGCTGGAGTTTTTATTTATCTCCCGGGTAAAGTCCTGTCAACGAACTGGCCTCCGTAGAGCCCTGGTCAAACTCCACTACCACACCCAACACCCATTCATCACTGTGCTGCCCCATGTTGTGACATCACTGGCCTAGAATGCAATCCTGCATATTTCTTGCAAAGAAAAGAGAGGTAGACAAACTCCCATGTTCCTTGATTGTTAACATTTGTGGAGCTTATAGTTTCTGCCAAGAGTTCCTCTGAGAAGTGCATTGAAATTTACTGTTCTGTATCACACGGGCATTTTCGAACACGAGGAAAGTGCTTCCAGATGCAGGATGTATTTCATGCTTTCTAACTGAACGCATAATAGACACTGCTGAAATTATTTGTTGTACAATCTTTAAATTAAAACATTGTGCAGCTCTATCCATCCATTCTAATGGCCCCATCCAATTCAGGGTCGCAGGGGAGCGGAAGTCTATCCCAGGAAGCAACGGGCACAAGGCAGGGTACACCCTGGGTGGGATGCCAGTTCATCTCAGACCATTGTGCAATTCCATCATACAAAATATTTTACCGAATGCTGTATTATGCAAAGTGTTAATGTCATGTGACTCTTTAGGCCATTTGTCATCTCAAAAGTGTCACACAGTACCCCCCAAAGTTTTTAGTATCCACAGTCTGAAGTCCTATCCCTGCCACTATTTGAAAATGTTTATGGAGGAGAGACTTCAGTCCTTCTCCTAAGTAGCTGCTGACACCTGGTGGCCAACCTGAGAAACTGGCGTATACATTTTCCACCGTTTTCCCCAAGGTAATAATTAATCACCTGAAACGATTTAATTGAATTAGCAGTACCCCAACAAATGCAATTAGGTTTGCAAATAATGCCAGCACAAATGACATCCTGCATTAACATGCACATTAAATAGAATGATATACAAATTGATGTATGCAGATTCAACTCACGTACTATGGCTGAAAAAAGATGGTTTGGAAGACATGGAGCTATTCCCATTAAGTCTCAAGTTTCGCTCAGTGCAGAAACCTGCTCTGCTGTCTGACACTGCTCCTGTGTCTGAAGAAACTGTGGGGGCCATTAACCATTTTGTCACAGCACTTCAATGGAGGTGTGCAAGTGGATTAATGCAATTGTGTCAGTTCTTCAGGTGCTGCAGATTTGAAGATAGCTGTAAGAACGGCTGGATTCAGGCCTCTCAGGACTGGAGTCGTGCATCCCTGCACCAAGCCAATAACTGGATCAGGCAAGATAATGATCCTCACTCCAGATCAGGAGTCCTACTCCTGGATTTCCAGCTCTCTGTAAAGCAGCAGCACCTTGAGAGCTGGGAGATCCCGGTAAAGTAGTTCAATTAAGACACCGACAAGCTGATTCAGTTTGTTAAAACTGACAGCCTTTTAACACACTGGTTCTACTTCAGGTTGTGGAGAGAAACCCTGTCTTTTCATTCCCATTCTACACCTGCTCTCAATGAGTTGATTGAACCAATTAACTGGTTTAATTAGGATGAATCCAACCTGTTTCTAAGGGTTTAGTCATTGACGTTCTCTATAAAAGGGGCAGGGCTGTCCGTCTGAAGACACTTGATCCGAGCCACGACTGACCTCAGTCACTGAAACAAGGCTACACAACATGTGGTGGGAGCAATCCACTTCATTGCAGGAGCTCCTGAATTAATATACCGGAGTGGTTAACCCTGATCCTGGAAAGCTGCAATCCACAAGGACATAGAGGTCACCCTGAAATCAATTTGAAAAGACTTACAAGAGATCTGATGAATTGAGTAAGCTAATCGGTTCAGTTAACACAGGGTGGCTAAATGTTATCCTTGGATCAATTAGCTAGTAATAATCTAACAGGCTGGATGGGCCAAAATGACCTCCTCTCGTTTCAAACGTTTATCTTGTAGGGACTGCTTACTGTGGTCCTTGAGACCTACCACCCCTTCTCAAACAATGTCCGAATGATCTAAGTGAAGAGCTCAATTGCTCCAGTGGTCATAGAATGTCTGAAGCGTTCATTGATTGTCTCATGAAATGTGCTGGACTGTGAATTTCCAGAAGCTGCCCACTCCTGCTATACCAATACTGCTAGGGGTGGATATTGATGGAGATTCTCCAGCTGAGCACAATTGAAGGTGAGGTTGTATTTACCTATCAAGGCTGTGCAAGACTGCAAAACAGAAAGCAGTTATGTAAGACTTTTCTGATCTTTAAAAGAAAACAAAATCCACCTGTTTGATCTTTAGCAGCCCATGACTACATATCCAATAAAATCTTCCTCAGCACTGAGGTCTTAATGCCCTCATCAGAAAGAAAATGTCAGCAAAGTGGCAATTCTTGTGACCTCTAAACAAGGCGCATACAGATGATGTCATATGATACAGTGTACAGTGAAAAGCATTAAAATGCAATGGATGATCAAATGGCATAGATGCATTTTTAATACTTCTCCGTGTATTTTATTGCCATTGAAGTACCTCAAAAAGGTAAGGCTATGAATCAAAAGACTTAAGTTTCTCTGCTGGAAATTTAGCCTAAGTAGACTTCCCCTACTCCCCCAGGCGCAGTTGCGAATCCGAAATCCGGAGGGTGTAACAAAAAATACTATGAACACAAGATAAAAACACCATGTTTTCTCATGAAACGTCAAACTGATAAAGCAGACTGTGAACGTTGTTGAACCCTGAACCAGAGACACAGCAGCACCGCGTTCTCTCCTCCCACAGTGAGACAGATGTCCAGCGCTGCACCAGGTTACCCCCGGAGAGGATGGGCACCCAGCGGTGCTTGGAATAATTCATCACCCACACCGCCTCCATCCCTCACCAGCTGGACAGGATGGAAACTGGGGGGTGGAGACTGGGCAGGGGCTCCAGAAGGCGTCTCATCCTTTGCTAATTTTTAAGAGATCACTTGCCAAGTGTGTGTGGCTGTCAGGCATCATGGACAAATACAGCTTCATGTCATTACAGGAATAACACAATTAGACCTGTATTAAAGACGGCTCACCTCTTTGCACAAATAAATAACTACATTCTGTACCCTTCTGGAGATGAATAAAGAGTAACAAGACAATTCCTTTGTAGTTTTTAATTCCCGTTTTGCTTTTAACCGAGCAAGAGGTCTGTATTTATGTTATTACACATGGTACGTGCAGACTTCACACTTCTACTGTGTGACGATGGGATGCTCACACTGTCGGAAAGCTAAAGACAGTCCGAGATGGGGGACAAGCACTCGATCGGACTGGAAAGACAGGAGGGAACGTATCAAAATCACAGGTGTTAAGAAGGAATAATAAATTAAAAAAAATTGAAAATCGAATTGAGCTGGATGAGATACAAAACGAGGCTCCTCGCTGGGGATCGTTTGTTTTGCTGGAACCAAGGCCGCACTGCCTCCCATGATCCTGGGATGGCCAAGGAGGAGACTGGGGGACTCTGAGCAAGTGGTCTGCCTCTGGACTGGCCGCCTGGCCCCCCTACTCGATGTCATCTTCAGCCAGGCTTTGTGCATTCACGATGCGCTGCGAGGACAGGGACAGCAGGTTAGCCGCGGCCTCGAGGGAAATTCAGGCAAATCCACTCTCTGAACCGAATGCATGAGGTGAACCTTTCACAACTGAACAAGCAGCAACTCCAGGAAAAGGGAGCAGAAGCACCTTCGAGCACAGAGAAAGAACCAGCAGGCCAAGGGGGGGGGGGGACTGAAGCCTTGAATTCAGCCACGACAAGCAGATAACGGGCACATTTTTCAGTTCACCTTTGCTTGCGAAAAAGCAGAAAATCTCAAATTGATTTATAATGTCTGGGATTTGAAATAGCGAAGGGTCACGGGAAAAGGCCCTTGGCTTTGGATGAAACCCAGCTCTCTTGCTATCGCATCCTTTCTTGTCCCAGCAGGTGAGATCAGTGCTGCCAGGGGGTTTATAAGAATGCTTTCGAATGACTTTTGAATCCCATGTGAAAAACGGTAGAAATATCGCCCGTGTTAGGCAACTTCTATCAATGCCCGACGCTGACTGTCTGATTCATGCATTTATTATATCAAGGTTCGATTTCTGCAACTCTTTACTGTATGGATTCCTTAACACATTTCCAGTAAACTGCAATATGTCCAAAACTATCACTCCTACACTTAAATCTCTACACTGGTTGCCTATAATGCTGTGTATTCAATTTAAGATCTTGTTACTGATTTTCAAGGCTTTAAATAATCTCTCTGCATCATATAACTCTGAACCTCTCCATGTTTACACTCCCTCCTGCAGGCTCTGTTTAGTTGAGGCTGGTCCCTTTGTTCCCTGTATCCAGGTCTAAATTTTGGTGACCATGCCTTTTCTGTCACTGCTGCTTAATTATGGAATACCCCTGGTCTTTTGACTCTCTTTAAATTTAAACAAAAAAAAACTCACCTTTTTACTAGGGCCTTTGTCTGATTGCCCTACATTCTCTCCTATTTATTCAGTTTAATTTGACTTTTTATTGTACATTTATCTTTTTCTTTATCGCTATGTACACTACAGTGTCCTTGGGTTTAAACAGACAGATTATAAACAATATTATTATGCACAGGCATGTCTGCAGTAGGGAATTCTATCTTCTCCTGCAGCAAGGTGGGGATGTATCTGCCGCCCGTGTGCTCTGTAGCGCCCTCACCTGGCTGATGGTTGGCAGCTTTGTGAGAAGCATCTGGAACACAGGTGGGGGCAGCGTCTGCTGAAGCACCTGTAGCAACTGCTGGGGCTGCCCGCAGACCGCGATGGCGTTCGTCAGGTGGTCCACGCCCTTCTCATAGTCTCCTGACAACACAAGGCAAGCCGATCTCAGACACCGAGGGCAACATTTCTACAGGAGTATTTCCAAAGAACTCACTTCCACAAGTCCACAAGGCCTCTAGGCAAACTGTCTTTTGGAGGCAGCCAAAGTCAAATTATCAGCTAGAGTTACAGCTGGCTTCACTTCATTGTCTAAGCACCAACACATTTTAAAACAATAAATTGAAACGTTTAGCAATTTAATGAAGAGTATAAAGAAAGGTCAGACTGATTTTCAGTGCTTCGTAAGGGACCGCTAGTGATCTTGCATTACTACCTAGACATCCAAATTAAATGAGCTCCTTTAGCTCCTTCGCTTTAAATACAGTTTGCCTTTTTTGTGAGGAAATGTGACAATTGCCCCATCAGCCCCCTGAAACCTGAAGCATTGCTCCTGAATAAGAACATCAGGGGGTGTGCAGGGGCTTACACACATCACCCCTCACAAAAACCCTCAGCCACACTTTAAAAACCATAAACAGATAATTGGAATTACTGTGAGAACATTGTAAATAAAAGTATTAATGCCCCATCTTGATAAAAAAAAACATAGGCTGTGGATCTGCCATGTAGTAGCTGGCATCGGTTCTTACACTCTGAAAGAAACCTGCTGGCTCTTACAGCCGCAGAAAAGGCACTGATTGTGCCACATTTCAATCCGAAGAAACTAGCAAAGTCTGAACCCTCTATGCTAACAAATATCCTTATGGTACAAATTATGGAGGCGAAGCCCTTACCTTGTGCCAGCAGCTCCTCTCCCAGCTGGATCTCCTCAAGGAAAAACTTCTGAACCGCCTCGGCATCCTTCAGGTCTGGCAACTACAAGGGAACATCAAGTTAAAAAACGTTTAACTTAAACAGGCAAGGCCAAACAGTCATCGTCTCATCTCTTAAAAAAAAAATGCTTACAAAAGCTGGGATCTAATGGGAACGCTCCTCTAGCTGGCATAATTGGAGAACAATTTTTTTAACGATCTTCTTTGGCATGAAGTTGAATTTTACAGCTCCTTTGGGAAGGTCTTTCCAGTGCTCCATTGTGGAGAAAAAATGAGACCCTTTTGAAATCCGATTCTGTCCTACTGATCTGTAAAAAGTTAGATGCTTTCTTAAAAAAAAAAAGCAAGGCAACACTAATGCTGTCCAGAGACCAGACAGCAGGCTTTCATCATGCCTTCTAAAATTACACCCCCCTGGTCTCTGCTTTGAAAATTAAAAATGTTTATTCTGAGGCTTCTGTGCAAGTAAGGAGGAGTAAATGTCTTACCCTGGAAAGACCAGCCTTCTCTTTTGCAAGCTTTTGCTTCCTTCTTCCTGGGGGAAGAAATGAACAACTTGTACCACATCAGTCAATTAAAGCATATCAACCCCAGCTAAAAAGCACAAACATGTAATCAGTTACACAGAGAAATTCTGCTGTCAGCATGGGGCAGAGCAGTGTTTCCACCTTGCAGTCTGACACCATCCGACGTCCAAAGCTTAGCCAGGAAGGAAATTCAGGTAGTTGCTCTAAGTGTTAACGGACTGGCAGTTGGTGTGCTCTGCTCTGGACTAGAGTTTCCACTGGTCCAGTTTAATAACAGGAGACTGTGCTGTAGAGGGTCCCATCAATTGGATGAAACATTAAGCTGATGCCCTGACTACTTGGTCATTAAGATTAATGCAAAGAGTGCAAGAGGAACATCTGCGTTTTGGCTGAATTCCTCTTTGGACATGCACAATCTACTTTACCCATTGTACCCTCTTAATTCAACTTCTTACTTCCACGGCACATGAAAGGGGCATCTTGTTATATGTAATGTGCTCTGGGATCCTATGAGACAAAAAGCACTAGAGAAATGTGAACTCTTATTAATCAGTAGGTAAAGAAAGGCCGTTTGCTTTTATCTTTCAGCATTTTCCAGCTCTTGCTGCAAAACGTTTGCAAAATGCAGAAAAATTAGAAGCACATTAATTACGCAAACCGCGAGTCGGCATGGTCATGTCCTGGATGTGAGAAAGCAAAGAGTCATGGGAACAGGCCCTCAGCTTTCAGTGAATCCAGGTGCTCTTGCTGTTGCATCCTTTCTTGTCCCAGCAGGTGAGGTGAGCACAGCCAGGGGGTTTATAAGAATGCGCAGGCATGGCTGCCGCAGGCTCCCTCGTTCTTTTTCATATTCCTCCAAAAAAACAATCCGTGTCCGGAAGTACTCTTACCAGGGATAGAAAACGGCACTCTCACGAGCAGGATTCAAGCCACCCCAGGGCTTCAGTGCAGTTAATCTGCAACTGTTTCACTAATTCTTGACTGGAATGCAAACACAGGGGGAGGGTCTTGGATTTCAACAGCATCTGATGAAGTGAGGAAAGCCCCCAAGGACACAGAGGGATTTCAAGGTCAGGCTGGCCCATTAACCCAAGTCACTCCTATCCTGTAGGATCACAGCCCAAACAAGCAAGCCCTGGGCAAACTGAATCTCCTAGTACAGAGGACACAATCACCACCTCACCCCTCCTCATCATGTTTCCCCCATTCCTCTACTGAGTCAGTTTCTAATTGAACACTGCAGAAGAAGGAGATGATGAACAATTTTCTTGGCAGTGCAGCTCATCTGACATTAGAAATCATTAACATTACAATACATTATGAGCAACAAACCAGCCACCTTTCTAAATGAATGGGTTACAAATATCAATGTATGCATATATAATCAGTTACACTTCATGCACATCAGATTTGCAAGAGAACATTTGTTCAAATTAAAACTTTTACCAGCTCTTTGTGTGGAACTCATAAGCCCACTGCAACAGTCCACACACAAAGGCAAAAGAACTACAGAACAGCAACTTGATATAGCGAAACAAAGAAGCCTAAACACAGGACAGGCTCCCAAAAAAACTGTCAACGCTTTCAGAGCCTGTTTTAGAGTCTGTAATGGGTTTGGGCAGTGAGCTCCACAGACGTGGCTCTCTACTCTTCCCTAAGACAGCCAGTCTATCCTACCCACTGAACAGAAAAGCCTCCAAGACCGCTCCACACCATAAGACCTTGCAGTTTTCAGACTGAAGTTAACTCAAGAGTACTTCTAGTCAGACAAAAACAGCAAAATTCTAGATACACTGAAGCCGTTTTAGCATCTTAGAGAAGACAGACCAGTATATAAGGATACAGCAGTCCAATCTTAATAAAATACAGTCATTTACCATCATACCTTTGCAGAAAAGCGCACAATATAAATTGATCCAAAACGAAAAACTCCCAATTTACGTGCGTCTTAAATTGTACCTTTGCAATTTCACTCACGGGATCAAAAAAGTATCTATCTTTCCTTCACTTAGGAGAGTGTGTATATACAAACGAGTGCCACCCTTTGTACACTGTGGGTTATGAATGAATCCGTGAGCCAACTCTAGCCTTTTCATCCCGTGTTCTCTTATGGTCTTGACGTTGGATATATATATTTTTTTAATACTCGAGATGCAGAGTTCCAAACGGATACATAAATATTTTTCCAGAAAAGGTTTCGATGAAAGTGCACGCAGTACGAGCCCCACTACTTCCTAGTACTCCGGCCCACAATCTATCCTGATGCCAGGAGAGCTAATTTACCGAGGCGTGGGTTGTGTAAATTTTACTCTCCAGCATCGGGATACGCGCCATCGATGTGTAAAAAGGTTTCCCTCTGTAGCCCAACAGGATATATAGCATATATGCAAACACATTTAAACGGATCAACCTTCAGGAATTGTATCTACCCACCCCAAGACTCCCTCAGCCAGACTCACGTTCTCGCAATCTGTTCTTGAAGTTGGGGTCACTCCGCCTCTTCCTATCGAAGTAGATGCAGTAGCCGATGAAAAGGGCCCCGCAGACCCCGGCAGCGATCGCGCTCGTCTTACCGCCCATCATAACTCATGTACAGCGGCACGTCGCCTCTCGGTGTCTCGGTAATCGGGGGGAGAAGACTAAGAAGTTAAGAGATTGATCACAGACAACACATGACCCCGCTCCACAGCGCTCCTTCCATGAGTGAAAAGGACCCAAACCTTCACGAGCTTCCTCCTTAGTGTGCTACTCGGGCTGTCTTCGCTTATTGCCTGAATGAAACTGCTCCAGTTTAGACTAAGGAAATGATAACTACAGTGATAGCTAGGACATTTAACTATTTTAAAGCATTTTTTTTTGTTTTTGTTAATCACATCCCTTTAATTTTTATCCGGACATTCTTTGCCTTTTTTAGTGATATAAGCACAGGCTTGCACAGGAGCGCTCAAGGTCCTCCCCGTGTAAGCAATTGTGTAAAACCATCAATGAGGCTCGAGGGTGGCGTGACGCTGCCCTTAAGATCACGAATGCAGAAAAAAATCGAAATGATAATTTGTGAGTTGTAATTTAAAGTAGCTACACTAACATGGTGCTGTATACTAGAAGGCTCATTGTGTTGAGTTGAATCTTGGAAGAGTAAAAAGGCCTGAATAATCAGATTTCTGATTAAAAACTGGGAAATGCTCCTACAATTAATCCTCAAAATGATATGTAGCTAGTCCATTCGGTGCCTTAAACAAGAGAAGCGGATCCTCGGTTGCTCTTTGAACTATCAGCATGAATTCTAATAGTATTTAACAAATGCTAAAAGCAGAAATTGGAAAAATTACATCACACAGATTGATTAAAAAGAAATCTGCTTTATTTTCAGTTCAAGGTCTTAATATGAACACTAGTACAAAAGCATGTTGTGAGACGAACAGAGTTCTACAGGTGCAAAGGATGATCGGTAATGAACACCTTAGAAAACCACATCAAATATCAATAAACTTCTGTCCCTTCTTGGGTTTGAATTTCTTTTTAAGTCCTTTGTTTTTCTTCCTTTCATTTCCTGGTTTGGCCATCTCTCCCGTGAAGGAAGGTCCCGGGAGGGCTTTGGTTGGTCTGCCCCTGAGAGGGATGGAGTTGTCACCCCAGGGTGCTGGGGCCCGTTTGCCCCCGAATCCAGGTTTTCTCCTCGGGGCTCCCACAGCTCCGCGGGGGCCCGTCCCGGCACCTCCCCTGGGGCTCCTGGCGGGGGCGGCTGGTTTCTCTTTCTGCTTCCTGACCGAACGCTTCACTCTGATCCTTCTGCCCATCAGCTCCGAGTTGTCGAGCTTCAGTGCGAGCTGCACAGCATCCGCACTCTGTAGAAACCAAATTCCAAGTAAAGGGTATATAGTGGTTTTCCACACGTGTCCTTCATTATACCACATATGTGCACTTTAATCCCAGCTGAAAATCTTACAAATCACCCTCCAAAAAACACTACTTCATGCACACAATTCTATTTAACAGGCAGTGTAGATTAGTGGCTCCTCTTGGCTTGACACCGAATGTTATGAGTTTTGGGTTGGTCTGAAAAAGGAAGAGCTGCGCCAGAAAAGTGTCAAAACCCCATTGCAGAAAAAAAGGTATGTTGGACCCCTTTTGATTTTAACTGTTCTTAATAAGACCTTATAATACATATAGTTTATAATATCGCTGAGAAATTCTGTAAATTAAACTATTGTTAATGAACTCTTAACTGTCTCCCATTAACCACCCACTATCATTTTCATTCTCCGCACTCTTAAGAGACAGCATTGCTCACTGATGCCTCCAATGCAGTTCTGCTTTTGCTATAGTTCCCCACATGTGAGTCCTCACCTCAAACAGCACATAGCCAAAGCCTTTGCCCATGGCAGTCTCTCTGTCCCTCACCAGGCGCACAGCCTCGATCGAGCCACACTCTTCAAACAGCTCCCTGAACGGCAGCTCATTTATATCTGCAAACGTCAACACAGATGAATTAGTTGGGTTTAACCACAAGGGGCCACTCCATACTGGAATATACCAGCAAGCACAGATCTTAAGGAGTTACCTTTCCTGCTTCCGTTAGAAACGTGATTCTAAAGGAACAGTATGCTACAGCAGAATTTGCACTTCTGACCGGATCGATTTTTGTCTCGGTACAGCGCAGTTCAGCCCACATGAATGTTGGGTTGAGAAGGAACTTAAAAAAAAATAAGTGCACACTTACCATATGGTAGATTACCTACAAAAATAGACCTTTTGTTGTCGTACTGAAATGAGAAAAAAAGCACATTAAGGTTCTAAAAATCAGTATTATCAGTATAATAAATAAAAAAAAACACAGTTTGAGTTGAATGTTGTGCTTCATGTTTGTAACAATCATCAATTTCCAAATGAATACAACAAGATTAGCTGCTTATCTGGAGCACCAGGAAAATGTTGAGGGTAATAAGACTGAAAGGCAGTCAGGCCACCAGTGGTGCACAGTAAGAATGAGATACCTAAAGCCCTTCAGACCTTGCATGAAAAACCTAGACTGTTCACACTGTCTGATTTTGCTATGTACCAAAGGCCTTTAACACTACATAGCTGAATAACAACACAGACGTCCCATCCTGTGTTCATTCAGCACTGATGTACTACTTGAAAGACAAAAGAACGAAAAGCCTGCAGTGACAACAGCACTTACTGAGGCACTCTTGGATGCCCGGTCCACTCTGATATAGTATCCTTTCTCAATCTCCATGCCGTTCCTGCCGAAAATGAAAAAAAAAAGTGATGAAGCAGAACCAAGGCCATTGCTTTCACTGTATGCAGTACCAGGACATTTGGCACCAGCCTGGATGCAGAGAAGTAGCTAAGACATGCCCACTGCGTTTAGACCACAGGTGCACAAAAAACATTCCTGTTAGGCTATATCATGATGATTTTACAGGTCTCTCTAATCCAACAACTAAAGGAAGGCTAGGAAAGATTAACTGCATCCAATTACATTATTATACCATAATTACAATTATACTCTCAGTGTGGGAGAAAAAGCAAAGAGCACTGTAAGCTGACAAGGACTGGATTTTGGCCTCTTCTGTATTGAATGCAAGGCCAATGGTGAGGACATACAAATATGAGTCACTGTTCCAAAAAAAACTACAGTGCAGCTAACACGCACAAACATGAATAATATTTTAATAAATCACTGACACTAAATTCTAGATGTCGAGTAATGAATTACACAAAATATGTAGCTAAAGACAACTGAGTTACATCTCAGATATTGAAAAGAAAGCATTACCTCTGTAAAGCATTCACTGCCCCCTCTTCAGCTTTGAAGACAACATAGGCGTTGATACTGTTTCGTTTGGGGTGAACCTTGCGTCTGAAAACAAACAGACAAACCCTTTAGTAAGTGGCAGGCGGCCACAGGACAGACTTTACCTTATTCTGGTGCGCTTTTTAAAACCACTTGTTCTTTATCCCCATCCTTGTGAAGGACTGAAACACTGTTTGTGTATTTCAGAGTCCGAAAGAATCAGAATTGACGAGAACTGATTTCAAACCACAATAGAAGTAAATGTACACAGTAACTCGTAAGAACCTCCAATTTGTGTCACAAAACAGACTTTTCCACGTATGCGCAGCGCCATCTTCTGCAATTCAGAATGGGGCAACAAATCTTCCAGTGCCGTGTCGTGGCCCTATTACATTGTAAAGAAGTAGGCTCATGAACACGTTTCTTTAAATCCATTAGAAATATTGCTCTCGGTTTCAAGGCAGTTTCGCCGACAAATACTTATTAACTCTGCACGCAGATCACATCTCTGCGATGAAATGTCTGCTGCACAATCTGTACTTATCGGCTCATAAGTCGCATTACACGAGTCATTACAGTGACAGGAAAGGGCCACATCACATCGCACCATCACAAGACCAGGGGTTTGCAACAACACGGCGACAAAGTTCACGATTTAGTGCTTGATTTGAAATGTGTACAATTCAGTGTCAATGAATTTATTTTGTTACCAAGATTTCATAACCGGTTTGTGAAAGTGGGACTGCAGTTCCCCTTTAACTCTTCCTGAGCTGTTCTTCCCCTGCTTGGAGCAAAACGTTTTCTAGGCCACACACTGTCTCCCTACTGTCTATAACAAACCTGATAACATAGTCTTTCAGCTTCCTGTACCTGAGAATTTTGAGTTTCACCACATGGGGTACTTGTTTTCTAAACATTCCAAAAATCATTATAGTGCCGTAAACAGCACAAACCTGCCTATAATGTCTACAACATATTTAAAGTATTACAACTATAATAAAATATGCACATACTTCAGCTGTGCACATTCTGCACATGTCACCGTAAATTCAGGCTGGTTAAATTCAAGGCACTTACTGTATGGCTGCTGCTTTCCTTGAAAGAGACTTATCTTCGCGTGCCTGTAAAATAACGAAAACGTAAAGAAGTGTTAACTCCACAAAAAAGAACTAATAAAATATCCTTGACCGACACAGCTTCAGGAGTCTTATGTAGAAATAAAAAATCCAAAACAGTTTTACAGTCCATGAACTTTAACCAAAACAGACGTGATCACGAAGATTGGAAACTGGGGTACCTACCACAGAACGAAACCGCACCGACTCAATGGACCCATACTCCTTAAACACAGCTTTCATCATCTGTGTGTCAAACAGAAATACGTGACCGAGTCAGCCCCATGTCAGTTGGTACCTTCCACACACAAATATCAGGTTAGTGGTACAAAAATAATCTCAAGGGGTCAAACTGTGTGCTTCAATGGAAAACAGTCCAGACTGTTTGTGGTAGCCATCATTCATAGAAGTCACTGCCCTGGAGGCACAATGGTGAAAGAAATGCATATTTCTTATTACTGCGAGGACCTGTTGAGACTCAGTTACCTTTGTACAGGGATTTATGGCCACTGTGGGGGAACTCCTGGGCCTTTTATCTACAATGCCACTCAAGAACCTAAGTGCTTTCCTGCTGCAGCTATGGAAGAGTCAGGCTCCTACCTTCTTGGTGACGGTCACAGGCAGGTTTCCTACAAACACCGTCCTCTTGTTCTTCATCCTCTCCTCCGCCTTGTTAACCACCTTACTCTGCCAGAGTCGCCCCTCTGCCTGCTCCGTCCCCCTGGATGCGGCGGAAGCTCTGAGTTTTTGTTTAGAGGGAGCAGGCGCTTTCTTTTGACCTTCTTCTTCGTCTGCGTTTTTCAAAGCACATTCCCTGAGGGAGGGAGAAATAAAAAACCTGGTCACTTCCCTACCCGGGCAGCCTGGGGAGAGCCAAAAAAGCCAAGACCTCCGCTCACCTGTCTTCTGTTTTTTTCTCTGCAGCCGTTTTCACCCTTTCCAGCCTCTGCTTCTTCCTTGCAGGAGGGGAAACATTTCGTTCTGTATTTGCATTGCTGCCTTGAGCCGTCTGCTGTGTCCTCTTGAGGTCGGGCTGCACAAACACACAACTTTTACAACTCTTGCCACAGAAGTGACTGCTCAGAAACACAACCCGACAAATCCAAGCTCCAACACTGGAGCTTTGAATCATCCCTTTTAAAACATGACCAGGGACTGCACACAGATTATTAAACCCTTGTTTAGGTTTAAACATTATGTCTTTCAACTTTCAGAGTAATTAGCCTTTACTTGTAGAATATCAAATTAGTTCCATAGACTGGGAAGAGAAAGCTATATTGAATTTTGAACGACGGTCTCAGCACTGATCGATTTACCTTAGGCGCAGGCACGCAGACAAGACCCGCAGGACCCGCCTTGGTGTTGAACAGAGAAGCCAGAGTACTGGACTCTGCTGTGGTCTTACTGGGAAATAAACTTCCTGACACTTGTCCCACGACATAATTATCCAGCTGCTTAGATGACTCCGGCACCTCTGTCTCCTCACTTAAAAATGCAAAGACACTCAGTCACACATCATCCATTTACCACAAATCCACCATCGATTTGTGAAATGTTAATGAGCTCAACACGTTTTCAAATGAAATTCAAAGACAATTTAAAAAGACGGCAAAATCCCTTTATAAAGATAATTCGGTTAGTTAGTCTAATACAAATTCTCAGACATTAAGCTTAATGCAAATACTTTAAATATCCCGCTTTATGTAAAACCTCACCTCCGTCTTCCACGTTTCTTCTTCATGCTTTGAAAAATAACCCTCCTCAAAGTAACAGTATGGTTCTCTTTAGGTACCGTATATCTTAACGTAAATCCGGACACTACGAAATGAGGAACACGAGTCCCAAGAAACGCCTGAAGTTAATTATAAATTATCTGACAAATGTACAGTAAATGGGAAAATAATACATTCCCAGATTTTGGTAAAATAGCACCACTCGCAATCTTTTCAAAACACGCTTTCCTTCTGTCCGTTTTGTTTTTCTTCCCTGAAAGCAACCAAGACACTGGACAATTAGTTCCTAGGAGGGGAAAAAGTGATGGAAACCGATTTGAACGAGCGCCTAAAGCGAATAGTTCCAAAAATATTGATGTTGATTTCATTTAATTCCCAATAAAATAAAATGTAATTATTTTAACCTTAATTTTCAGTAGAAAAAAATACCGCTGAAGAGGAACCTTTAAGATGTGTTATATCGTTTAAACTAACTACAAATTAAAGTTGACATCTTTAGCCACGTTTATGTTGTGTAATACGAGACTATGGAGACTTACAGGACTATTTCGTTACTTATTTTCATCCTCAATTTTCTGCGTTTCATCTTCATTTTTCGCTTTCCCTTACTCTTGCAAACAAAACCAATATTGATATTTGTTTTGAGGAAAAAGATGGTATGTTAAGTTTCAGCCCCATCGAAAACTATTAAAATTTCGTTTGTAATAAATTAAATTATTATAATGGCACGTTATTGTATACATAAAATGAAGTGGTCTGGGCAGTACCCCGTGTTTGAGCATTTTAAAATGGAAGAAAGGGGGTATTTGCAGACTATTTCGAAGTGCAAAAATATGAAAGCAGTACGGACATTATTTTTATTTAATTTTTTTGAAATTTTTTTATAACTTGAATTTATGTAGTAATATGTACCCGACGATATTTTTGTCTTGGATTTTTATATGTACTCTTGTTTGTATTGTATTTTTTCTTCTTTTGTTAAGCATAAATAATAATAAAAATACTCTTGCAAACAAATTCGGTTCCAGTAGAGCACAGATTTTGTAATGGTCTGCTGCTAATTACAATCGAGGATTAGAATCAATGTTAAAAATAGTTAGACTACCGGTTAAGAGTGATGCTATATATGATAAACGTGTCTCTGCTGGATTAGATGTTCCACATGGTTAGGGACGGATTGCATGTAAAAATATTGCCTTTGATATTGCAATATCCCCTTTGCACACCTTACCTCTCGTCTTTAAGCAGCACACCCAGTGTCCTTAGTCTAATCCTCTGTCCTTATGTGCGTTTGTTCATAGAAGCCACTGATTTTTTTTAATAATGTTTCTTTATTAGCCCTGTACAATTTCTTGCATTAGGAATTCATCTTTTCGCATACCCCAGCTTTTCTCCAAGGAGACAGACACACAGACAGGGAGAGAAGCTGGGGGTCAGAGCGCAGGGTCAGCCATTGTCCGGCACCCCTGGAGCAGTTGGGGGTTAATGGCCTTGCTCAGGGGCCCAACGGAGTTGGATTACTCTGCCGTCTGCGGGATTTGAACCGGCAACCTTCCAGTCACAGGCGCAGATCCTTAGCCACTGATACTACAGGTCCTCTTCACCAAATACACGTTATATATAATCACACACGACTGATCTTACCTGCAGTCAGGCAGTGGCTGGTGCTGTACAGTCCCAGTCAGGGCACCCGAGGCCCATGAGAAAGCGGAGGCTCGAACCCCACACCAGTTAGCAACCCAGAGAGTGTAGTTACGGACCACACATCCCTGGGCAATACCCTGCAAGCCACGGCTGCCCACGCTACTGACTCCAGTCAGGCTGTGACTACACTGAAGCTGCAGGTATATGCAACAGTAGTTTGCATAATAATCATTATTCAATATTATTCATTTTTTTAATTGAAGCGAGAATTATTGGGTAATTAGTGTTCACAAGATGTTTCTTACTAAAATGAGCATGTTGTTTGAACAGAAGTAGCTATGCCCTATATTGTGTTACTAAATACTGAAGGCACACAAAGAATGTCACAAACTATGGCATTTATTTCAAACAGAGGCTTCTTTTGCTTACATTTGTACAATAAATTACACAATGTCCATCCTCTGAAGAACCTAATAAATACTTTAGAGCTTTCGTATAAGCTTTGTCCCCTTCTCTTTGTCCCAAAACAGTTATTTTTTTTTAAAGATCCATAAAACTTTACAGTTCATGTACAAGTTGGAAAATACTTTCAAAACTGCCTTCAAACAAAACGCTTCTCAGAAGAGCACAAGGTACGGAAATCTCAAGACTTACCTAGAAAAAAAAAGTATGAAGAGAAAATAAAATAAATGAAACGCTCCCATACCTCAAAAAAAACAAAACAAAAAAAAGACATGCTTTTCCCCTCTGAGGATGCACACAGAGCTACAATTAAAACAGTCTGTACAGAAAAAAAGTCATTGTATTAACAGTGCAAGATATTAAATAGCTCGACTTGAAACACACTTCTCAATATACAAATGTATTACAAAGGCATACAATTACATACAAGTGCCAAACAGAACAGACCTTCAGGATATCATACAACATTAAGTCTTTACAAAGGAGACAGACTTAACAGGAGAGCTTTTCAGAATTTATACATGTATCTTTTTGTTATGGTAATAAACTCAGGTGTGTAACCTTTTTGCCTTGTAGGGGTTTCTAGAGCATTGTAGGGCATTAATGGTGTGTCAAGGACAAGCAGAATAACATCAGAACTAGTTTTTAAAAAGTACTTGAATTCACTTGATAAGGGTCAGTTGAAGAGCTTCACTGAATATGGGCAAGAGAAAGGGTTCATTTTCGAAGTCACCTTGATCTGCAATAGAGTTTTAGTGCCAGCAGATGGCACTTCAAGTTTGAACGGATGGAAATTGCACTTCTGCAGACAAACAGAACACCTTCAAACCTTTAAAGGTGAAATTCCTTAATTGTTTTGTACTCGCACGTTGAACTAAAATTTGATTACATGCGGTCTTCCTTGCGTTTTACTTTCTGCAACTCAATTTTCTGAAACATTACACCTTTACTGAAAATCCAGCACTGTTCAGCATGACACCCTGCTGAAACCATAGTTTAATGTCTTTTCTATAAGTCATGTATATCCGGCTTGGCCATACAGACAGGCCACTCAGCACAGGAAGCTGTACAGTCTTCCAGGTGTTATGGATTTTGCAGGTTTAACTTTCCTCAATTACAGGGATACGGTATAAATTTTCTTTAGAAATTGCATAGCTAAAAAATAGGCAAAGCAAGACCTGGAAAAAGCCCATGCGAGTACAAATTGGAAAATTAAATAATGGATGAAGAGTTCTGCTATTGCACTTCCATTTACTGCCATGTATAATTCTCTTTTGAAGAAACTCCAAACTAACAGCCAGCTACTGGACCATTAAAATTGAAAGCATAAGATATTAAGAGCCTCCCTTGTAAAAGGAAAAAAAAACCCTTAAGTGCTTGGGGATTCCCCATTTCAGTCTTCAACAATTTATGTATATAATTAGAATCCTCAATTGTTTAATTGTATTCCCACGCAATCTGGAATGAGCGACTGAGTCTTGATATGTGGCCGCACAGCGACCCCAGTAACCACGCAGCGAGGATGAAGAAATGCGGACAGGTGGCGCAGTGGCCTGGAGTGAGTGGAGCCCATCGCTCTAGAATCTATGCTGTGACATACAGGAGACACTCTGTTCACTGAACGGGAGAAGCCTCAGGAGGTTACTAGTTCACTGGGAGCTGAGAGCACCCTGGTCAGCAGATGCCTGTCTTACCCCCCTGCTGAGACCATATCAAGTCCCCACATGGGCAATCGTCTAGAGACATTACTGAGGGTCAAATGTGCAATACCTGGATTACACAGAGTTCAAAATATTCCACATCCTCTTGCATCTCCCATTTTATGTAAACATAAAGCTGATTTAAAGAGCAACATTACTGATCATGGTACCACTTCTCAAAGACAGGCCCAAGTGTAAGAAACGTCTGATGTTTCACTGAAAGTGCTCAAGTAAAGGCACATTTTCCCTCAACTAATTAAAATGTTGTCACATCATGCATCTAAGGCAGGGGTTTCTAACTCTGGTCCTGGAGAGCCCCAATCCAGCAGGTGTCATTGTTTTCCATTAAATCACCGGTTTCTTAAACTATTTAAAGAATTATGTGATCAAATAAGAAGGTGATGTTCACTAGTAACTCAAAGGTAGTGAAGATTTTGAGACCATAATCCTGACCACCCTCAGCTGTCAAGAGCCAGAATATTCATTTCATAATTTACATGTGTTTCCAAAATTTAGAAATAGATGATCTGTTAAACCAAATTGGACACCCACAACCCTTGTCCTGGAGAGCCCCAAAAGATCAGGTTTTATAGGCCATAAGAAAATAGATTTCTAGAAAAACAGGGGCAAATTTAACTGCGATTAACTGCAGGTGGTTTGTCAAATCATTTAAGAGTTATCTGAAACAGTTAACTCAGTCCTAAGCACCAGGCCTTTTTGGAGCACATTAAGTGATCAATACCCTTGAGGGTGGAGCTACAAGACATCCTGAACTGTGGCTCTCCAGGACTGGGGCTGGAGACTTCTGACAAGGGGAGTCTGCTTCTCTGCCATGCGACACACAGGGCTCTGGTCCTATATAAGCTATCTATAAATATCTGCATCAGACAAACAGCAACTGAGCATGGTAACACATGTTGAAGCCATAGAAAGGAAGGGAAGGGTCTCAAAACAAACCACTTCAGTTTCATCACCCTAACTTATGACGAGGACCTAAAGCGAATAACTGAAACCTGGACTGAAATTTGGCATTTTATGCCTGATTTCGGTCAAATGCAGACTGGGTGATAATCCTGTAATTTACAAAAAAAACCTTCAGAAGCCAACAGGGACAGTCTTTAAATCTACATTGGGCACATTTGTTGCAAATCCTCAATTTAGTAGGCCAACAAACCTGAAGTCACTTCTTGAATTAAAGAGACTTTGGTGCAAAATCTTTGATTGGGGGGGAAAAAAGAAAATCTGGTTCTTTCTGCTTTGAATGACCAATTGCAAGATGTGCAGTATTTCCTGTTGCTTGAACTCATACCATTTTTCCTTCATGCTGTATCCCCTTTGGAGTCTGACCGTCCTTACAGAAACCCTGCAAGACCCTGTGTAAATTGGAAATGCAGACGTAGCGTCATTGTAGGCAGTAAAGGAAAGAGCCTCTTTTTCGCCACAGTGGAAGGCCATTCAGGTCATTATAACATGTATTTCTCACCCCAACCCCAACACACACACAGACAAGTTGAAAACAATTATTGCTTGAAGGAAAAAAACTAAACAAAACAAGAAAACAAGTCTGTTGTATTTCTCCCCCCACCCCATTCGTAAAAGTGCACTTAAGTGCAGAGTTAGCTTGCCAAGAAAACAGTTGTCAATAGAAAATAGTGCTCTTCGTTTTTTTGTTATTCGTTTTCTGCTGTTGCTGCTTGTGCCTCAGTCAGTATTTTTTTTTCCCTCTTCCAGAAAAGCCTCCGGCCACGGGGGAGCTGGCGCGGAGCAGCGTGCCGCGGGGCCCGGCGGCCGGCTGTCACCTGCACTCCACCGACACCCCCGAGCCCTGAGAGGCGCCGGGCACCGGCGGCTCGGCCAGAGTCAACATCACCGCCGCCGTCAGGGAGCTGGAGGACGGAGACGAGGAGGAGGAAGAGGAGGATGCTGCTGCGGCACCTACGGAACACAAAGACAAATATCCGTCAGCGCGACGAGCAACAGGGTTCAGAAACCTCTAAAACCTCACAGCAAAAAAAAATTAACATCCTCCTCATGCTACACAGGAAAGTTTTTAACTTTGCCAGTGCTTTTGAAAAGCAGCCTCACAGCCCTCAGAGCAGTAGAAATCCCTTTATTTGTATAACTATGCTTTTGAAAATTACAAGCAGAAAACAAGGGGGTTGGTTCTGCAAAACCTGCATCAGTGATGTCCTGGTGTGCACAGTGCTTTATTTTACAGCTGTGACGTAACCTGATTTTATTTCAACTGTCTAGAGGTAAGGACTGGGGTCGAAAGGACTGTGCTGGATAAATGCTGCAAGCCCTCCTCTTCACGAAGAGCCAAAAGAAAAAACTGCCGACAACTTACTTTCCCTTTCCTTCTTCTTCAAACGTTTTCTTCTCCTGTCGATAGAGGCAACCTCCGACTTCAGAGAGAGGTAATGGTTCCGGATGTCCTGCAGTTTCTCCTGCAGGAACGCGATGCGTTCCAGACTGCTCATCTTCTCCAGCTCCGCTGTGGGGAGGAAGATTCGTTACTCCACACAGCCCGGGAGGACCTGCCATCTCCGCCTGCTGACCAAGGCAGGACCAGCACCGAACTTTAAGAAGCAGGATTGCCGTTTCACAATTGATGAAATCGCTGGAAGCCATGACCCCCTTTCATTAGCATTTATAATCTTTCATTTAAATAACTGAACCAAAGAAAACCCATAAACCACAGCTAAAGCAGAAGACTGCTGAACCCCATCATGCCAGAGTGAATCAGGTGGCATGCATGCCCCTTTTCCCAGTGGGTGTGCTTTTAAAATACAGTAATTGGAGTACTTCCACCATGGTACACTCTTAAACAAAATTAAGCAAATGAAAAAAAAACAGGAACATCTTTTGGCCAGTCACTGGCCTTTGAAGAATGAAAACTTTTTTTTTTGTAAGTCAAATGGATGCCAAACAGGTACGGGGTCCGTAGCCCTGTGAGAGACGCAAACAACTGGTGATTTCAAAATCTGATGACTTTGTAAAAAAAACTGGCAATTCTAATGAAAAAGGCCTCTAGCACACCACAGCTACGGGATGGACACGCCATCTCCTCCGGATCTACACAGTTAAAGGCAGAGGAGGGCCATCCCTCCCGAAAACCAAAGCAGATCAGCTCAATACACAATCACGCCCCGGTGCTCACATTCGGCATTCAACAGTATGGAAGTCACTTACACATCTGAAAACTCCATTTGTACACCCTGGGAGAGCGACTGGGATGCTCCTTGTGCTCCGGGTCGGTCTGCCTGTGGCACTTCCCCGGCGCTGGCATCCTGCTGGGACACTTGGCGGGGACGGCAGGCTTGAGACCAGAAGGGGCCTTGGCAGTCAGGGATTTGGCAGTGATCTCACTGGTGGACTGGTCCTCACTGTCACTGCTGTGCGCTACACCTGGAGGAGCGAGTGAGGAAGAGGTCAGTGATGTGCACCTTCACACTCAATCCCCTGCGTGTGCTCAGCATTACTGTGGCTTGCCGAGATCTCCAACGGCAGACAGACATGTAGTAGCAGCCCCATGTCTATTGCCAAGTGCAATAAAACTTTCTTTTGATGCAAGCATGCACACCCTGTGTCTTAGTTAATTCACTAGAATCCTTAGTTAACCTTTGCAAGGATGAACAAGTGTTTAAAGATGTCAGAAGGGATATCGTTGCCAAGTGTCTAGGATCAAAAGTTTCTCTTCCATTTTATTTGAAAACTTTAGCAGTTAAATAAGATTGTGGAGTACTCAGTGTAATGCATTAGCAGTTTTTTCAAGAAGATGTGTTGGCAAGGCAGCACAAAGACACATTCATTAAATTTTGAACTACAAAGAAACAAGCATTAACAATATGCAAAGTAACATTTTTTTGGAGTAGAAAGACTTAAGATTTAAACACTGTTTCCAAATCAGGATAATAAAGGAAGTATGCATTGTGAGCCAATAATCTGCTTGTAAAAGCATGATCAGGAGCGATGTTCTTAATGAAATGGCTCATTTTAATGCAGAGCTACTAATTACTTTGTAGAAGCTGCTTAAATTATGTGCTCTTAGCTAAGCTTGTATACTCTTAACAAGAATCAACCGCTCCCCAGAGATCATGCACTGGCCAAAGGGCACGCAGTTTATTCTCAAGAAAGAGATTTCTTTAATTACCTGCTTTTCGACTCTTTTTGTGATGAACGCCTGAATTCTTGTGGCTTCTCTTGTGTTTCTTTGTCGTGCCACCTGCTTGAGCCTCCTTGGGGCGTTTTTGACTTGTTGTTGCTGCACGACAACGTGAAGACCGTGAGGAGGCAGCCATAAAGGCCGGACAGAAAACATGCACCCGTTCCACGTTCTCCGTGGCCAGAAACGTATAGGAAATACTCATGGGAGTGCACGGCGATTCCTTAATGTGTTTGCATCGGAGCATCCATGTAAATAAGCATTTCATTGCGCTTGTGCATATGATAAACTGAACAGGTAATATTTGGAAAGTAATCACTGCTAGCTCATCACTTATACTAATGCGCAGATTTCAGAACACTGCTGCTGAAATGTTACAGACGATGCATTCTCAAGCTTTATGGCTTACACATGGCAGATAATCACTTGATCCAACGCACGCAGCTAAATGTCATTTCCCCAGCCCCGCTCTCTTTACCTTTTTCCCTGTGGTCGCTTTCCAGATGGCTGCTGCCGCTGTGGCTGGAGTTGCTGCTGCTGTGGGAAGAGAGGCAGCCGTCAAAGGCCGCGGGGGACCCCTGCTCCTCCGGGGGCAGCTCCTGCAGCTCCCCGCCCAGGCTCTCCACCTCCACGGTGCTGCTGTCCGTCTCGCTGCGGCCCCCCACGCTCTCCTCCCGCACGGGGCCGCGCGGCGCCAGCGGGGAGCCGTGAGGGGCGAGGGCCGAGGCCAGGGGGGGAGGGGGCGGCGGGGAGGCCGCTGTCCGTGTCCGACCGGGGGGCTCCACCGCGCTCACCCCCAGAGAGGGGGACTCGGGCGTCGTCGGGGGGGTGTTGAGGACGGAGTTGCTGCCGCTGCTGGGGAACTCCCGGGTCTTGCCGGCTCGCTCCTCCGCCTTCCCCTCGCAGGGCTCCGGCTCCTCGGCGGCCGGCTCCGGCCTGGGCTCCTCGGGGGCCGGAACAGGGGGAGGGGAGTTGGCCGCCTCCGTGTCGGAGTCCGAGAAAAGCTCCTTCAGCGTCTTCTTGGGCCACTGGGCCTGAATGCTCGACCAGACGTCTTTCTGGCCTTTGCTGGCCCGGCTGCTGGGAAGCCTTTCCTCCGAGCTGCCCGTCAGCTTGGGCCTTTTCTCCGGCACCTCCCAGAACGGCGCCGGCCGGCCGCTCTTCCGCTTCTCGTCCAGCCCGTTGTAGTTCTTGGACGGCGTCCCTTTGGGTTTCGCGCGCTCCTCCTCGCGGTCCCGCTCCGCCGGGTGCGGCTCGTCGTCTTCATCGTCGGAACTGCTGCTGCTGGACGAGGGGCTGCCCCCCTCGCCTGGGCCTCGGTCCTCCTGCCTCTTGGGGGAGCCGGTCTGGAGCCAGTCCGCTGGTCTGCTGTTTCGCAGCTTGCCCTTCAGCTGGGGCTTGGGCGACCTCTCCGTCAGACCCTCGGCTCTTCTTTTGGGGCCGTCCTCTCCCTCCGAGTCCAGCCCCCCACGGTATTTAGGGGTGTCGTCCACCGCGCAGTCCTTGCTCCCTGGAAGGCGGCCCGGCTCCTCGTCTTTTTCCGCCGACGTCCTGCAACTGTCCCGGCGGGGCTCGGCCTCCCATCGCTCCACTCCCAGGGTGCTGTCCCGGGAGCTGCTCTTCGGGGGGCTCCCGTTTCCCAGCCTCTCCTCCTCCTCTTCTTCCTCCACGTCCTCGTCTTCGTCCTCGTCGTCCTCCTCCTCCTCGTCTTCTCGCTCGCTCTCCTCCGCTGAGCTTTCAGACGCTGGGGTAAGAAAAAAAAAGAGGGTGAGTGTCGAAAAACATCTCGATGGGAAAGTCCACAGGTACAGGCTCGCAAAGCGTTTCCACAATGAGGTTTTCAATGGTGCTGGCACTAGCAGTCAAGCCAGCGGATGTCCAGTGCATTTAAAAACAAAAACAGGAGGTTCTTCTTTATAGAAAACATTGTAGGAGTGTGGAACAAGCTACCCAACCACACTGTCGAAGATGATGTCATGGTTTCCTCCAAGAAGCAGCTGGATCATCCTCAGATCAATTAGCTGCTAACTACCAAATGGGCCCAAATGTTCTCTTCTTTTTTGTGAACCATTCATAGGTTCGGAAAAACCTTTTTTACTGGCCTGACATGATAAGTTCTACACCACAAAATTGGAAATTAAACTGTTTTCCAATCCATATTACGAGAACTCTAAATTTAATGAAGTTTGAATTTTGCGTCATCACCTTGGAGCCCATTCAGAATAGATGTAATTTCGATGGGCTTGACTGGCGACTGGTCAGCCCCTTTGGGGTCGCTGCTCTCCAGCTTTGAGAAGCTGTCGGATGGCGTGCTGTTCACGGAGGACTTGGAGGATCGGCGGATGCGGCCATATTTCACTGGAGACAGGTCTTCTCTGTCCGGCCTCTCGGTCTTGTCTTTCTCTCGTTCCGTTTTGTTCTTTGAAATGACACACAAGGGGCGGGGGGGGGGGGAATGGCAACATATTTAGGGCAATCAGACCCCAAAATTCAGCAAGATCAGGGAAACATCCAATGTGACATAAGAAGCAACTAAAATAAGTGGACCAAGGTATTTTCTCCTAGGGGATGACCTCCTATCAGATGCAAGTTCTAAAGTCAGCAAAGGCAAAACGCTGAATGGAGCTGGATGTAAAGATCATCATCTGACAAACAGGTATCAAGTAAAACAGACGGCTTGGAAAGTGGACTTTCACTGATTTATCACACTATCTGGGAACACCTTCACAGCACCAGAGTCTATCAGACAAGGCTGCTGGTTTTTACATTAGGAACAATGGAGCTGCAACCATTCGACAGTGGCAGGAAAAGTATATTTTAGCTTTATGGAAAGAAACCTTAACCAGTGCGCACCATTAAACAGTCAAAGCTCTTGCATACACAGGTTTCCTGAGGCTTGATATCTATGGAGGAATCCCACCTTTCAGAAACGGTTTCCTTAGCTTCATTTTGGCGTAGGTCATGGTTAAACGACGGAAGGGTCTTCAACCCTGGTGCTTTCAAGCACCGACTGACACACCTACCTTTATTTTTTTACGGTGCTTTATTTTCGGCACGTTCTTATCCGCCGGCCGCACAATCTTGTCCGCCTTTATCCACTCGTCGTACCTGAGAGCAACCAAGAGCGCGAGACAAATAGACACTGGTTTACATCGGGCCAGCCGAGCTCTAAAACAGAACATGAAGCCCGAACACTCTCACACAGCCTGCATCTCGGCGCAACAGGTGCAACCTGTACAGCAAAATAAAAATGATTACAAAACAGCTTGGGAGGGAGGGGAGGACGAGTGCAACAGCACACTAGAAGGGGCAGGAAATTGTCAGGAAAACTAGCAGGACAAAGATTTCTTTGGTAAAATGATCAAAGAACATGAAAAACATTCAGCTAATGCAAAATTCAGGACTGGGAACAGGTTTCGGTCCTGCTCTCAGGACTTCTTTACCCTAAGGATTACGTGGGTCTGGAAATAAAATGCCCAATAATGTTGTTGAAACAGATTGCTGGGGACCCTAGAGAATCAGCTGGACAAGATCCTTGGATCAATAAACTAACAATCTAAAGAGCAAACTGAATGGCCTCTCATTTGTCACCTTTTTCTGCTGTGTACTTAGTGTAGCCACTAGGTGGCAAGAGCAGCAGAAATACAATTTAGAGCCTCACTGCTGAGACTAAAAGGAACTTTTCCCCCAGCACAAAGCAAGCATGGGATTGCCCAGGTCAAGGTAATCCAGACTCGGAGAAGGGCAGGCTTCTGCCTTACCTGACGTTCCAGCCACAGTAGTGCACCAGGTACAGCACCTCGCCCCCATCCAGGTCGGACTCCTTCACTGTGGCCTCGTACATCTTCTGATTGCGGCCTCGGCCATACCTCACCTGCACCTTCATCCCAGGAGGGTAGCACTCAAACTCCTCCCCTTCCCTCTCCTTACTGCTCTCGTCACTGAAAGAGAGTAGCATTCCCTCACCCTCCGACACACCAGCGACCAGCCTAGGCGAAACCAGAGCCCCCTGATACTGCTTCTCTGAGACAGTTTTGGTCATTAGGAAGGTCACATACACCTGTACTCCCCCCTTCTGCTCCAGCATTTGAGGTAAAATGCTGTTCTCCTCTTCATTAAAAAATTCTCCTCTGGAGGAGGCTTGTGGGGGGCTGTTCAATTTTGTTCTACATTAAATTAATCCTAAACAGTGAAAAAAGGTCTTGCAGGAAAACACTCAGCCCACCCTAGCCAGTTTTCTCTCAGGACATTTCTAAATGTTGAGGCTCTTGAAAGCTTCTACAAATTCATGCAGTCAAACATGGGGTAAAAAAAAAAGCACCTCCACAGCCACATCACAGATCAGGCTTCTGGGGGGTGGGAGGCAAGTTTCAGGCGGTAACCTGCTGCTCAGCGTTTAACTGCTGCTGTACAAATGAAGGTAGTTACCAACTGCATTTAATAAAAGCGTCTATCCCCCAGCACAGAAACACTGACCTGCTCTGGGGAGGGCGTTTAAAACAAAGCAAGCTCCTCTCGGGTTCAAAGGGCTGCAGTAAAGCTAACCGTGAAAGAACACAGCCCCGATTCGTAGAAGGGACTAAAGACTAGAGCCATGACTCTTCGAAGCTGTGCAAGAGGTTTTCTTGATGCTCATACGACTGCCCACGCAGACCTCCGGTTGACTGCGTCTGAATACACAGAGTGTGTAGGAGCCCGATGAAAATCACGCTCTGAAGCGCATCAGGAGCTGGCTGCAGCACACTCCAATCCTCCTTTTAATGAGAGGATACACTAACTGGATATCACGGCCTAGCCGATTCCCACATGAAAACACTCAACACCAGAACCGCGCTGCGCAGACACCCCCCCACCCCCCACCCCCGTCTCAGCCGAGATGCTGCAGCACTTGGCTGGGCTCCACAATGTCAAACACTTGCCACCTGCGTCCTTCGATAACAGAAGTCAAACTGGGACTGCAACAGCAGCGCACCGCTCTGGCACGAGGCACTTCCGGGGATCAGCGCGATTGAGGCCCCAGTCCGCAGCGCACAGCACGGTGTGAATTCAGTTCACCTGCTGAGGCTGAAATGTCTACCGACTCCATCTGCACGACAGAGCTCACGCGCGGGTCGCTTCAGCCATTGAAAACAGATCTGACAATCCAAAACGGGGGCTAAAACAAAGTGCTTAATTCACTGCTCCCCTTCATGAGAAAGCAGGGAGGCCCTGAGCCAAGCTGGACAGAGTCTGTGGGAAAGGCAGTGCCTCCATGTACAATAAGCAGATAAAAGGAAGGAACACAGTCGCCTGTTTGACTACTTGGCACCACTGACTGAGCACACGAGGACTCAGACATCTGTCAAACAGGAAGTATCTACTCACACAACCTCAGATGAGTGGAATCCCCACATGATTTTCACTCTGAACTAGGTAAATCACTCCAACACGGAAAGGTTTACCTTATCAATACCCAATTAAACGTGCAAAAGTGAAATACCGAAGCTGAAAAAGCAATTACTGCAGCTGACTCAACAAGACAGCTTCTAGCCCAGCTAAAAGATAAAAGTTATATTGGGGAAACTAGTGACTTATTTCTCAGTACAGTCCCACTATAACCACAGCATCCTACTGCATCATGGCAACAGATCAACACTTAAATGGGCTATACAAGTCCAGAAAACATTAATACATTTAAATGAATACATAACGTAGACATAATAAATTGCATATGCAAACAACCCAGATTGTATGCATTTCTGGAGACTTGCAAAGTAATTAGACTGTCCAAAACGACCCTAAAAGCATTAAATTGTACACAAAGATTTTGTAAAAATCATCAAGTGTACAAGTATCGCATTAGCAAACTACTTCACAGGACAGAGCTGATTCCCCTAGCTGGGGCCTCTGTGACTGACATCACAACCTACCCTGACTTGTCCTTATCTTCCAGCTCCTCATAGGGTTCATTTTTCACGTTCTCCGTCTGTGGGGGCTCGACCACCTCCCCCTCTTCCTCATCCTCCTCCTCCTCCTCCTGTTTCTCTTCTTCTGCTTCGGTCTTCAGGGCTCCAGTTTCTAGATCTGTGCTGCCCAGCAGGCCCTGGTCTGACATCTTGTCCACCTGTGGATGGAAAGGGACACTGCTGTCACCTCACCTGCAGTCAGAAGGGGATTGTCACAGCCACACCCCGCAAGTGCCTGAGTAGCTTCATCCTACAGGACTATTTTATCTTGAATGCACAGATTCTCGACACACAGAATGTAGAGAACATGTCAACTGTAACTAAGGCAGCCTTTTAAGTCTGTAACAGAGGAGACGACGAAGACTTAATCCATCAAAACCCACCACAGCATCAATAAAGTCTACCTAGCAAACCAAACATTGAAAATCATTCCACTTGTCGTCTGGCTTGCACGCGAGGAAGGCGTGGGACCGAAGGAAGTTACCCTGCTCACGGCTGGGTGCGCGTCTCCACCGCACTGCTCGCACTCCGCTCGAAGCTCTTCCTCCTCCTCCTCCTCCTCGTCCTCCAGCGGCTCGGCCTGGGTCCCCGCGATTGGGGCCGCGGGGTGTGTGACGGGGCTGCCTGCCTTGCCCCCGGGTTCGAGGCACGGTTTCTCCGCCTGTTTCTGGGGCAGGGCCATTTGGAACGCAATGCCAGTCGACTTGCAGTACTCCTCAAACCCGTAAAGGTATCTGGAACCAAGAGACCAATTGAGTTTATTTGTTCTTTTTATAGAAAGCTGTAGGTTACTGCAAACCGCGAGAACATCAGCCTCCGAGCTCGCGTCATAAAATCTGTTCACCTGTGCCGTGAACTATGATATGAGGAACGTCTCAGAAATCAAATGTCCATTAAGCCTCTCTCTGAGCCTTTAAGGTTTAACAGTCAAGTTTAGACTCAATGGTTAGTGGTCTTCAGGAGTATGTTTACAACTGGCTAATTAATTCAGACCATGGGGTTTTGTTTTAGTCTCCCATATTAAATCAATAACTTTATTTTTACCACACTTGCAAGAAGTGGAAAAACAAAGGCACGCTTCACAATAGTCACCAGCACTGGAGAAGCCCAACCTGAGCACTGCAGATGCGGAGGATTCGGAAGGTGACGAGGTCTAGGGGCTGCGCTTGGGCGCTTGGGCTTGCCTGCACGCCCACGAGGAACAGCTGGCGCCTGCGCTGCAAGGCACCCAGCCGGCAGGCGCACAAAACGTGCGAGCAAGACCCAGGGGAAAGGGAGCTCCTCACGCTGCTAATGGCTACCCTCTCTCAGGGCACCAGGAGCTCCTGCACCACTGCGAGCCGCAAGCAGAGGACTGGTGGCTAACAGAGTCTAACCAACATGGGGCTGAAGAGCGGGGACGATTTGCTTGTTGCCCCTCGTCTGTACAGGTTTTTTGTCTGCTTTTCCAGCAATTATTTATGACGACAAGCACTATGACAAAACTCATCTGCATTGCTGGACCTACATTACTACTCACACTGATGTGTTTCTTTTCTCTCCTTACACTGCTTGTCTGACTTGCTTTTTTAAAATTGTATGCCATTCAACTTGTTGTTGTTGCTGTTCTGCGTTTATGTTTTGGCGATTCCTTAATGTCTTTGTGTCAGCGCATACATGCAAATAAGCATTTCATTAATGCTGTGCTTATGACAAATGAACTGAACTGAACTCGACAGAGCCCTGGGGGCGAGGAAAGGCACAATGAACTGCAGCAGACACTATCTAAAAGGGAAGCCCCAGGTGGCACGTACTTCCTGTAGGCACATTTGACGTTGTATCCAGCTGCAGAGTTGAGAACCGGGATACCCAGATCCTGGTAGACCTGCTTCCAGACGGAGCCGCTGTCAATCTGCGCAGGAGAAACAAAGAACCGCTTTTAGACTCGCAGACCCGGAAGTCTTGACTGCTGTGCAAATCAGCCTGAACACTGCAGTATATCTACACAACACTTCCAAATATTCCATCATTCTTCCTTGGAAATAACAGGTTTCATGGGCATTACTGTGAGTATTTAGGGTCAAGCTTTCTGAGACTGAACAAACAGTACTTCTGTATCTTATGACCTATTTTTGGTCAAGCACAAAAACCAAAATAACTCACGTTATCAAACCCTCCCAGTCGGTGCACCAATCTGTAAAGTTTGAAGAGGTTGAGATTTCTGTAGCCCAGAACTGGTCTCTTGTTAATTGGAGTACCTGCAGGAAAAATAAAATCCTAGTTGCCAGTTGTTCTTACCCATTTCTAACAACTTCACCTTAACATGTCTACATCAGCCTCACCCCCAACTTACTTTCTTCAGTAAAACCTCCTGACTGCTATTAAATTCCGTCCGGGAGCCACACGTTACTTTAAGTTCACGATTACCACAAAAAAAGGATAAAGTAGTGACCCAACCCTCAGTTTCCAAACCTGGCACGTTTCTCCTCAAAATCACTTCAATTGTTCAAAACTACAACCACACTATTCCCCCAAGGGCTGCAGGCTGCGTTTATGCATTTGTTTGCCACTGTCCCAGTAAGAGTTTCACCTCTGTCCTCCATGAACTTGTACAGCTGCTGTAGGAAGCTGTCCCTCTCTTCAGGAAAGGGCTCCACTTCCTCCTAGAGAGTGAAAAAAATCATTCAGCGTTAAACGTCACTGGCTTTCCTATCAACAGTGTGGACTCTCACACGCAAAATTTAAAACCCAGTGAACAAAAGCAATAATAGTGAGTCACTACTCAGTCAACCCCTCGTGAGCCACAAAGATGAAGCAGAGACTGTGCTGCATTACAGTGCATTTTATGTCTGCAGCATTGCAAAGCCCAAGCAAGGCGATCACTTTACAGTGATGAGCATGACATTTAAAAGCGAGTCATTTCCCAACACGTGGCCAAGTAAATGCGCTGGGAAGGGATGAGGTCATACTTGACATGAACAGGAGGGAACAGTGTTTGCTGACTGCCTGAGGTTTGCTGAGGTTAAACCAGGGTGCCGCAGGTACTGCCAGCGACCTCCGAGAGACCCCATTACAACACAACACACAACAAATCTGAAGAAATCTGGCAACAGCCCCGACAGGAGAATATAACAAGAGGGCAGTCTTGAAAGCACCAGTCCCAATTTGCAGCTGTGAAACTGTTTAGGCCACAAAGATAAAAATACATGATCTAGCCCCTGTGGCTAAAAGGATTTTGAGTAGTGAAAATCATTAATTGCAGCAGCTTGCTAATTGGTTTACCTAATTAAAAAAAAATAAAAGGTCTCTGCAGTCAGAGCAAGTGTGTGACATACCATTTTCCCTAGCGAAAGCAATATGGCTAGATCCTACATTACACACAGCAGCCATTACAAAAGGGAAGGTAAATAACACTTTAGCACCAGATTTGATTATGCCAGAGAAAGGATTTTGCCTGCTCATTAGCTAATGTCTCAAGAGCGCTACAGTTCACAAATTACTCTCTGCTCATTTAGTCTAAATTAAACAATCTAGTTAATCGAAAGCAAACACCTTTTAAAGCAATTTTAATGTTAATGTGCAGCAAGGGAAACAAAAGCATGTCCAACTTGATTTTCAACACCAAGAAATATATTATTCTCTCAAAAGGAGCTGGTCATCAAGTTTGCAGTTTAAGAGTTAAAGCAGTATTGCAATTATGGGGGAATTTTCCAATTTTTCCCCCCAAGCAATTAAGCTATTCTATTTTACATACATTCACATGAGAAAAAAAACCCTACAAGAAGCTGTTGAGCCTTGAGAGAAAAGCAGCAGAAAGGAGGGACAAAGCATTTGCCTTTTCCACCACGAGTCCCAACTACAGTCCCGGGAGAGATCCGCATAGCAACTTGCCTCCTCTTCCTCGCTGCTCCCATCATCCTCTTGCTCCTCCTCCTCCTCCTCCTGCTCCTCACCACTGGAGCTCTCCTCCTTCAGCTCCGTCCTCCAGCTAGCCGGGACCACCCCGCGGCGCAGGAACTCGAGCGCCCCGTCCAGCGCTGAGAAACAGAGGCCACAGGTCTCTCGTGAGCGTCACAGGAGCATTGGAAGACCAGAAGGCTACGGCACCAGGAGCCGACCAATCACACAGACAGGGGCTCTTGACACAGAGCAGCTGGGAATCTGGCCTATCTTCAGTGCTAGGACCAGCACTAGGATTACAATTATTTTTATCAATTGTAAAATTACATGTAACATAACACAGTCCTTAGCTGATACAGACTGTCAGATCAAGTCTATTCAGACGTGTCGTGATAAAAGAGGAGTAACCAGAGCTGTGGTTTCAAATCCCAGCACTGGACACTGCTGCTATACCCTCCAGCAAAGCGCTTTGCTTAAAAGGCTCTAGTTAACATCCTGCTGTATGAACACATTTCCACCACGTCATTGTATACGAGAACCTCAACTGATTTACCTGGCAGAACACAGAAAAAACAGAATATAGCCCACTGTTCTCACTTAAACATCTGGTTATGCAGACAAGCAGAGGCAAAATCTTGGTGGCTTGCAACTCTATATCTTAGCCTCTAAACTGAAGGTGTTTTTTTTTTTTAAACAGAAAAAACAACTCCCTCAGGCCAGCTCTGCGTTTCTTTAAAAGGATTCCAAGTGAGGTAAAACAATTTTGGCGCCAAGCTGTGATGAAACAAACCCACACCATGCAGCAACGCAAAGAAACAGGACAGTCAGAGATTATCAACGCTCCACAAATGTCCTTCTTTTAAACAAGTTTCCTCATTGCTGTTTTGCCTGAGAGGGCAGACGTTTCTTGTAGCTATAACAGAGCTTTAAATGGCCTGATAAAATACTTCTCCACTACAAAAAAGTGACAAATCTTACATTTGTATTCCTGATCGCCATTTTTTTTCTTCCAGTTCTACAGTTTTATTACTCATTTTATTGTTCAAAATACATTCCCAATGTAAGAAAAGTCCAAAGCGACTGTGCTGCAACACATTTACAAATTGGTCCAACTCCAGAGAAACCATGGGCCAAAACGGCTCCTCCTTTTCCCCATACAAAACCTGCAAGCATTTTCCATTACAGCTTTTGAAGAAGATGGGAGGCATGTGTTTCTACCATGTCATCATCTGTGGCTCCTTATGGTGGCGAAACAGTGCAGTTAGAACAAGAAATTAAAAGGGAAACAACTTGAAAATGCAGCGCTAATGGCTAAAGGGATTCCTGGAAACAACACAATGGCAATAAACATTCAGAATCTTAGCAGGGGGTCATAAAACATGAAACGAAGTAACGGAAGGTTTTTTTCACCCCCCAATGGATCCCCACGATTTCTTAGGCGTGCATTTGGCGTCACTAAAACAGGGGAATTCTTAAAGAGAAGACGAAAACACAGCTTGCTAAAAAGCAAAAATAAGTCACTCCTGGTCTATAAAATCTCTCCCCCTATATTCTATTTTTATCCTCCCCCCATCTTAACCTTTGAAGTAATAAATCTTTTTGAGATGAGGAAATATGGTTATAACAGTACAGAAGCCAATTAAAACACTGCAGATAATCTCTTATCCTCAATTCACCCCCCCCCCCCAAGAGGGCAGGGAAGCCCTGGAGTTCGATAAAAAGACTTCCAGCTTCTTCCAGCTGAACTGGAAAGGTCAGAGCTGCCCCAGGAACAACGGCTCGCCTCCGTTCAGCGAGGCAGGAGCCGGAATTCCGATTTTTACTCAAAACAAATCCAGTCTTACCTGGCTTCATCCCTGCCTCTGGTTTTGGGGCCGATTCACAGTTCATTTCTCGGACATCCTTCCGTAAAACAACATGGCTGCAAGAAACGCACAGAGCTAGCGATCAGCACTCGAACCCCACTGAAGGCCTGCAGCACAGCTTCCCTGTATGCGCAGTGAAGGCCAGCTTGACTTGCACACGAGATACCGAGATTGCGCTTCAACTGCCTCTGGGATTAAATCGTTAGGAGAAGTTTTAGAACAAAACTGGGTTTGAACACTCTTTTGCTCTTCCCAGTCGCTACTAAGAAAACAAATTGGGCTTGTAAGTATTTTGCAAGTATTTTGTGCACGTCAAACTCCACTTCCCACATTTTTTTTTAAAGTTTGGCCCAGAATTTGTTTTGTTTTTTTGCTCGTTTCTCTGCAGCACAGATACAAAATCAGTTGGATTAATTCATTCAAGTGATAGAGTGACAATTTCCACAGAGAAGATGTACAACAAATTAAGTAAGATACAGTAGCAGGATAAACAGACTAGCTGACAAGCATCTTTACTTACTGTAATAAAAAAATCATCATCACCTGGGAACTTTGAGCAACAGTACCATGCATTGTGCACTAAATGCAGTGAAGTGCATAACATCATGCAGGTTTTCATTTCTAAAACCATTCCAAATATGTTCTAACCACACACATTAAGAATATCACAGTATATGTTATTCATATTGTAATGACACATCTTAGTCAGCTCTGACTAAAATAGAGAGCTCTGTCAATTTAACTAATCCTCGGGACACTTGCAATGGAACACCTCCAGCTCTGCTATTTTAGCCATTTAATCATACCATGGATTAATCAATCTGAGCAATTAACTGCCGAAAACGTAGACAACTCAAAGAAACTGGAACTTTACGGACGATACAGCCACAAGGTTTAATCTGGAATTAAAGCTAAACTCATTAAACCCTCCTTGTATCACCAAATTATTTTTAGAGCTACAGAACAGATTAACACGAATTTCAATCCGTGACAGCGGTGGGGGAGGAATCCTGCCTACAGGCCAGCGAGGAGCCATTCTGGCTCCAGAGGGGCAGCTCATTACAGAACACACGGACTGTGACACTGCACTTCAGGGGAAGAACACCGCCAGGAGAACATCTCCACGGGGGTGGAGGGTTGATTTATTTTGCAACACCTGCGGGATTCCCCTCCCAGCGCCCCCCATTCAGAATGTGCGGGGAGGGAAACTGCACTTCCTGTGGCACCAGGAATTTTAATCCTCACGACATCCCAGGTGGACCTGTACTGCTAATTAAGTGCCCCCCCCCACGTGGACAATTAAAGGCACCGCGGCTTCAACGTTTCACAAGGTCCCTTCTCTCGGCCGTCCCCTCTCCAGCCGAGCGGAGGTACAAACACAGGCCCAGCGTGGAGCTGGGCTTCAGACACACCTCTCTGTGTTCTAGACTGTTGTCATGTTAACAAGAAAGTCACTGTGGCCCACCCCCCGTTCAGCCAGCAGAGGAGACTGATGAACGGAGAATACGAGTCCCCCCCCTGCAAGTCTCGGCCGGCAAGAAGGTGGGAAAAAAAAAACTGCTATTTAACCTGCCTCCTGTCATGGAGGAAGGGCCTGGGAAAACCAAGAGGTGGTGCTACGTTAATCGCAGGCATGAGAACACGCCAGGATACGTGGCTCAAGCTGTGGAAAGAGCTCAATAAGCACTGCAAGCAGGAGCAGGGGTCCTGTGCCAGGTTGCGTAGGCCGGTGTTGTTCGGTCTTGTTTGAGGTGCTCAGGTCAGGGTGCAACACGTAAGGCTTCTTTGAATACGCCCGTCTTCTCCGCTGCGACACCGACCACAGTGGGGCGCGACAAAACAAGCCCTTGCTGTTCTTTTCAAGACACCGCAGTAGGCAAAACGGTGGCGTGCATCACTGCTGTAACCTGACCTATGACCAGGGACATGAATCTTTGGTATTCATCGCCTCACCAGCTGAACTGAGAAGCACAGCAACCTTTCTAAAACTCATTTCGGATGTTTTACTGGCATAGCGGTTCAACCGCTTCCATTTTTTTTTCTCCCTCGACAGTCATCCCATTTCTCACAGTCTTTCCCGATTCTGAAATTTCCCAGCTCTGCCCAACGTAACACATTACGTAAAGCCCTGCCAGCGCACTTCTGGGGCACGTAAAAGAAAAAACAAACTCACAATTTGCCGTCCTTGAAGGACCGAACAAGAATGGTGTCCTTTTTCATCACAACCTCGTCATTGCAGTCCGGGGAGATGACCTTTTTCCAAAAAAACAAAACACAAGAAAGAAAAACAAGACATGATCAGTTAAAAAAAAAACTTTTTGGAGGGTGAGAAAGAAAGCTTTTCCAGAATGCGAATGAAGGAGCTAGTGAGTTCCCATATCCCTCATAACACAGAAACAACACATCAACAACACCGCAAAACAAACAGGAGAGCAAGACTGAGGCACTACATAGACATGGCTCCCTTTATTTGGTCAGATTAGCAAACATGGCATAAAAATGACACTGGAATCCATTTAATCAACATGTGCTTTAAAAGTAATACCCACATCTGGGTCACCACACAGCACTTTAGAATAACAGGAATCCTTAAGGACTGTGTAATAGGTGCAAAATATCTTGAGAAGCTTGATTGTTTTGAAAAAAGAAAAATCCATATGGGGATTTATCCTGGTAGTGCACATATATTAACTCCAAACCCATGTTACTGTCAAACTAAACAAAGCACTGTTGTAATCTTAGCTTCTATCTTTGACTTCATTACTGATCTCTGTTCCGCTTCTTCATTCTTTATCCTGCCCTACCAAGCACGGGTAGAACAAGCCCAAGTCCTTGAGAACGCAGCAGCAGAAAGCTTACGGGCAGTATAAAGAGGGGAAAATGCCCTAACTGCTTTGGAACTTCCCGGACTTTAACTGGCAAGACAAGGAAATACAGGCTTGCCTGATTCTATGCGGACTGCAGCCCTCCCTAGCTCTGCAGAAGACCTGTGGTCAGAGCTCACTGCAGACCTCCTTTCTAACACAAACTCTACTGTAAAAAGACACAAATACTGCTCCAGCCAGACGACAAACGTAACAGATTAGGGCTCAGCAAAATGACCATAAAGACAGACCAGTGCCGGGTACCAGGAGGCCTTCTTCTTCTCCGCTGCGGCGCACTCCACGCAAACCACTTTCCCCAGGAGCTCATCGCCGACGCGGCCGTCTCCCTCCTCTTCCTCACTGGAAGATGAGGTCTCCTCCTCCTCCGGGCTGCAACACAAAGTCACTTGTAAGGGGAAAAAAATAAGTTGTTTGCCATGAACCATAATATCTACTTGCAGAGCAACATTTGATTTACCAATGCCTCCATTCAATTCCTGGGATAAGTATTAGTCCTCAGTGGCTATTCCTCTCTCCTGTGATGCTATGTTGCCTAAAAAAAAAACATCCCCATGTTCTCCTACATTTACGTACCCTTGAAAACAGCTGACTGAATTCTCTTCTCTACAAGTGAGGATAAAGGATGAGAGAGGCACAGGGACTCAGCACTGCAATTCCTAAGGCCTCTTATCTTTGTCTTCACCCATTGCAATCCATTAGACACATCCCCGGCTCTCATTTTTCATTAAACGAGAGGATAATGCCGAATTGGAAACTCCTCTGGGCATGACCACACTGATTTCATTTTTATTTGATACAGAACACGACTTGCAGCCCTTTTCAATTAAAACGAGGCTGAGCTCTCTTGCACGCTGGCAGAGCACGCTCTGTTCAGCGCAGTATCACGAAGTGACGAGCTGTGCCGTTTCAGCTCCTCTCCCTATAGATCCATTTGTGTTTCACCCTGCTTTACACACACATTAAGACCACAAAAGAACAAAAAAAAGCCTCCAACACTCCCTAAATGAACTTGCCTGAACAAAGCTTCTGCAAACAATGATTAAACAATTTCCCACAAACTCCTCTACGGGTGATAAAAAGACTGCTGTGATGAAACAAGACAAGTTTCCCTTTCCCATTGCCAGGGTTACGTACAAAAAGCATTCTCAGCCAGGTTCATTTTCACTACAGATTCAAAAAAACGAACATCTGGCTCCTTTTTTGACCTCTGAAGATAAAATGTCAAAATCTGGGACAGAAACACGGCCAATATCAAATCCTCTGCAAGCAGCGACTTTAAAGATCCATCTCCTGGCAGGAAAAAAGAAATGGAAATATCCCTAAAATATTACGCAGATGCAACATACACTCCATCTACATGTCTTCGATCTTCATCAACTGAGCATGATTAAGTTTGAAATACCAACACAAAGCCACTTTAATTTGCAACAGGTGCGCTACAGTGATTGAATAAGATATTTCTCCTGTTTCCTGCAGACTTATTAGTGAAAACCATTTTTTGCTTTTTTAAAAAATTAAATTTGCCCATTTTGTCACTTATACCCACTTGACTGAATAGAAAATTGTGTGCAACATCTCAAACCCCCATACACAAAGGGGGGCAGGGGGGTGTGGTCTCCTCTGACCCACCCACTTCCAAGCCACTCCCCACTTATGATGTCACTGACAACGCAGCCCTGCTCTGGCAAACACCTGGCAGTGTTTCACAGAGAGGCCTGGGGTGGCTGCTAGACTATTCTCTGCACCCCTCAGCTGTGACACAGCGTTCCCAGCATGACGCAGACTCGAGCCGAGATCACAGAGCTCAACCTGTGCTTGGTCAAGACCCTTGACTGGTGAAGGCACCCAGGAGGCCTCCATTTTATTATTTTAATCATAAAGTACAGCTGTTTACCGAGAGCTGGCTGAGTGTTATGCTGAGCAATAGCAGTTGATGTTAGAAGACAAACACTGATTTTAACATGAAGGTTGTGTGACACAGATTTATGCTTTCAGAGAGCAGCTAGTTTTTCACTCTACCGCTGAAAGTATGCGCCAAATAGTCATGACTAATCAACACTAAAAAAGCCTATATGGTAATATCTGCTTCCTCCGAGACTCAGGAAATCCAGCACTGAGTCTGTGTATTCAAGCCCTGAGGCCTTCACAGTTCACGACCCAAGAGATCTACACTCCCAATTCCTGGAGCACAGAATCCCGTTTTTAACGCTGCATGAGCTCAGAATGGCCTAACTGAATAAAATATCAGTTTAATTGGCCTAATTACAACCAGTAACTAGCTTCCAGGCCTTACGCTGTAGATATTGCATTACCTATTAAGCCTGCAGGGCTGTATCCCCCTCCAGACTAGAAACATCACCGCCATCCAGCCATTTAGACACACAAGTTTTTCCCCAGCTTCGAACGCAAAAGTGCTCTTATTTGAGCAATCGTGTCAAGCGTGGAACAATGTGCTGGCCACTTCAAGCGGGATTGGGATTTAATTCATTCACTCGCTAAGGGAAAGCGGCAATGTTGGCCTCTGTGGTGTAAAAACTGGAGAGAGGCTTTCGGTGATGTCACCACTGTGCCTCACAGTGTTGCATCTCTGTGGTTCTTCTTGGGGCTGCTGGAGCAGCAGACACCAGGCTAGCTTGACTGCTGCTTGTGATTTAACACAGCCTCCCAGGCTCATACAGCGAGCCATGTGACCGGACTGAGCCTGGACCCTCATTTGGGCACTGTAGTAGATTTATCACTGTCAGCATCCTCGCAATTCACGGAAGCAATAAAAAGAGAAATACAAGTCAAAAGAGGCCATTCTGAAGCTTAACAATGCCCTTATTAGAGCTAATCAAAAAATACGGATCGGGAGTCCACATCACAATTTAAGACACAGAAGATTCATGCCATGAGTTACAAAGCTTTCCAGATTTTCCAATTATTTTAATTTTCATTCAACGAGGCCATCGCTGGAAATCAATCATAAAATGGCACAACAAAACTTTTTGTTTTTTAAAAATAAAGAAACATCAAAGTGTGACACAGACCATGTTGGGGAAGTTGAAATGCCAGAATCTTTTGAAACTAGACTCCCCCTCTGTGAAAGGATTGCTTCCGTACAAAGGACGAAAGAATGACATTACTTTCCAAGAAAGTTTGCTCATGTTCTGAAAGGAGCTGGCATTGCGCCCTCTAATGATCCATGAAGCTACAGTGAGTCTCTCGGTGAAAAACATGAAGCTCAGCAGGCAGTGGGAGAGAGGGGTCAGCTAGTACTCACACATGGTTGGATCTTCTTCCCCGGTTGCTCTTCTTCCCGATGACTGGGGTTCCGAAGTGTTCAGGGTTGGTGAGGGGAAGCTGGTCCAGAGTCTGCAATACACACAGCCGACAACCTGCGTCACTCCCAAGAGACTGCAGAACAGCTTCCATCTCAAGAGAACTTGTACTCCTTACATCCAGGCACCTAATACTCTGAGCGGCCTCTCTCTGAAAGGCACCGCTGAGGTTTCGCGAGACTCTTCCAGGTCTGCTGCTTGGGTTAGAGTGAAGAGCATGCTACAGAGCTTTCACCCACAGACGGCAGCCGAACACAACCGGATCACTGTTCAGAACACGGAACACTCCGATTCGTCAAAAGCAACACTCGCATTTTTAGATCAAGGCATCCAACGATAAACGAATTTACTTAACAAAAAAACAGCTTTGCTATAGTGTGCAAAGAAAAGGAAAAAGGTCCTGCTTCTGCATTTGTAACAAGGCCATGTTCAAAACGGCCTTTCCCATCCCACACAACTCCAATAACCGTGTTTAAGCACACGTGAGCTGTAAATGAAGAGACATGGCACCAGCTGTCTCTGAACATCTCAAATTAATGGAAGACTGGGGTAGCTTTCCTGAGTGCGTGGATGCTGGTATTGGAACAAAGATGGGGACAGCTGAATTGGCAATTTAATCTCACGGTTTTCTTAATCTTTACAGATGCTACAACAGCTTTCTTAATATGAACTTCAAGTAAAATATGAAAAGGTTTCAGAGGTAAAACTTTATTTTCAGATATTAACTTATATTTAAGTACTGTACACCAGCTGTTTCTGAAAGTTTCTTTGGGGGAGGGGAGGTAAACAAGGGGTGCTACCTCTGACATAAGAAACAGAAAAAGTGGCCCCTGGTCCTCTCTGCACAAATTTGGAGATAGTATTATTTTTTTCTGAAGACTATGAAACCACGTAAGCTGCCAAGTAAACAATGGATTAGTCATATACAGCATCTGGACAGTAAACTGTGACCTCTTTCTTTGTATTCATATTCCACTTCACATTCCTTTTATAAGCAACAAAACGTCATTGTACTGGATTCACTGCTAGACGGTTCCGCATGTACAGGCCAGAGCTTCAATAAGTTGGAATGTGGTTATTTTGGTCCACTGTGCTGCAGCCTGTGCCTGAGGGTGTCCCAACTTACTTCCATGCAAGCAGCTGTCTGAGACAACACACTTTACTTTCTAAAAATAACAGCAGTCCAACACAACAAGAGTTGAGTTTATTTACAGTTTATAGCTGGATAGCATGTGAAGATCCATCCTTTCACTCTTTTTCTAACTGCTTCATCCAAAGCAGGGTCGCAGGGGAGCCTCTCCTGGCAAACGCCAGGCTCAAGACAGGATACACCCCGAGCAGGACGCTGGTCAATCCGGGCGCACACAGAGATGCAAACACGCACACGCTCACACCAGGCTACGAGTACGGCTCTGTACTGTGGGAGGACACCAGAGCACCCGAAGGGAACCCACACAAACGCATACAAACTCCACACAGACAGCAGCCCAGGAATTGAACCCGGAGCCCCAGTACTGCGAGGCAGCAATGTTCAACTCGGCACCTCCAGGCCATCTGTGTGTGAATCTAAACAACAAAATTTCCCATCTGTGGGATCCGTTCAAACGGAAAAGGTACAATGAACTGAAGCTCTTGGCTCAGCCAAGAAGCTTCCTGATCAAAACAGAGCCCCGCAGAAGGCTGTGTCGTCTCTTCTCGAGCAGGCCTTGCGTTTCTAAAGAGCAGGCGGGGGAAGGCGAGGGTAAAAAAAAAAAAAGAAGCGGGCAGCGGCTACTCACCTCGCTCTCTGCGAAGTGGCGCTCTCCTTTCAGGCAGAGCGAGGAGCGCCTAAGGGTCTTTTCATCACCGTCATCAAACACTGCGGGAAACACAGGCACAGTCAGAGTCCTGCACTCCAGGCCCCTCGTTTGCAAAATAGGGTTTTTGTTTTTACACACTGCCTTTGTCTTGCAATAAAAGAACGTTTTCTTGTATGTTATACCAAATCACTTAACCTTCAAAGTGGCTCAAAATCCCCCTTAAGGGTCACTTCCAATTTCTTCTCAACCTCACAAAACAGACAATTTATCCTGTTTACATATTTAAACTAAAGCAGAGTAGGAAGCTCATTTAATGAGCTAGTTGAGGTTTTCTTTTCTTACACGTTAAGCCATAAACCCACTGAAGCTTAATCTGTATTATTAGTGGGATGATCGCACTTACCAACAGTGTACCAGCTGGCATCTGTTAATTTGTTAATGATGGCTTCCTGATATGTCCCATCTTGGGTTTTCACCTCCACAGTAGCCCCTACCTAAGGCACCATCATAACCAAAAATAAATTATATGATAAAAGAATTACACTGAAAGTTACTTGCATTAATATGTGGCTTCCACGCCAAAGAATATCACAGCCTTCTTCCTTAAAAAAAAAAAGCGACTCAAAGTGACCAACTGACCTAAGAAGCAGAAAACTAGGCAACTATTTTACTTTACTAGAGCTTTTTTTCCCCGAGACCATGGAAGCTAAGCAAGGCTAGGCTTGGTCAGTACTGGGAAGAGAAACTTCCAACGAAAGCCAGGCTGCGGTTGTAAGTGGTGCTGGTGGACCTGTAGGTGGCGCTCTTTGCCCTAGACCAGACTCTGACCCAACACAGTGAAAGGAGACACTGGAAATGAAGCTGTCATTCAGATGAGATTATGAACCAATATCCTAACGACTTGGGCATTGAAGATCCCATGGCACAGAGGAGGGATGTTAATCTCAGTGGCCTGGCTAAATTTAACTGTTATAAAATCTGGTCTTCATCCATTTCCCTCTCAATTTAATTGATCAAGAAATTGCTCACTTCACCTCTTCTGCTCATAGTGGGACATTAAGCTCAGAATGGCAGCTGGCGGGATATCACACTTCACGGTGCACAAAACAGTTCCCATCCCATGAGTTAAGCACTTTAGGGATAAAAGCCGCTATATAAATGTAAACCATGAATAAATCATAATTTTTTAACAGAATCAGTGGGCTCCATGGTCAGCCAGTCACTTTGATTGTCCCTATGTGAATATCAGAGGGAGGCATAACATGGAACCAAACCAGCCAGGCACTAACTAACTGGGTCAAAGCCCATGCTCCCTGATTTAGCAGCTATGACACACACCTGGTCATGTCAGCCACAGTAGCAAGCAGTGCTGTGAGCGAACATTTCAATTCAACAGAGTCCAGTACCGAAAGCATAAGACAAAGCCAACAGGCCGGAACAGCACCAGAGCAGTCAAACATAAATGGAAAAAGGTAAGCACAAATCAACTCGATCTCCCTGCAGTTTTGTTTTTAATCAAAGGCCACGAGCGGAGAAAAAGGCCTCCTCACCTTTAAAGGCCCTCTGATGTGTTCGTCCTGCACTTCTGCTGTTGACGCCTCTTGTTTAAAGGTCACCTGGGAACACAGGAATTCAGGCGAATCAGTAACCAGAGCAAATATCCTCCAAAAGGCCAGAATTCATTGATTACCCACATCACAAGGCAGGGCCTTCAGAAGAGGCTGCTTGAAAAGAGAAGGGAGAAAAAGCTCAAATCAGAACAAATTAATTTGATTGCTCAAATTAAGTTCATGGTTTGTGCTAGGACCTGTCTTCTCTGCACACTTTCTCTTGCCATCTGCTGCCCTGGAGGCTAGAGTACTTCACTAGCTTTAACCACTGCACATTCAGAATAGAGAGGAAGAAATGAAGACTAATGACCTGCGTTCGTGATGAAAGGAAAAGCTGAAATTTGAATGCAGGTAATGTGACTGCCCCTTCAATGTGGTAGATCATTGAAATGCAATTCCCATCATTACACTACATCTCACTGCTTTCATAATCTGCCTTCGTTCGACGCACTTATGAGCTCTTCAAGTGAAGGATAATGTGCATGAATGATAACATCAATTCAATCCAGCACAGGGCTGCTAAGATAAGATATCAAGCACACCACTGACTGCAATGTTGTGTATGTACTTGGAAAAGAATCAACAGGTTTAATAATAAAAGCGCTAGCTACCAACAATCTTAAGGAGTATGCAATCAATACATAAACACCTTCATTTTAAGATCAGAAAGAACAGGGAATAAATCAACACACCTAATAATGAGGACATGAGTGTTTTGGAAGTGAAGGTTTATAACATTAAGAGGAATTTCTACTTCCAGAACATTAACTGTCAACCTCTAAAGCACTGCAGTCCTGGACGTGGGGGGGGCTGGTGTATTTACAGGTTCTCAGCCCAGCTGGGCTCTTCATCAGCTCAACAGGATGAGCGTCCCCAGTTTAACAGCTCCCCCCAGCTCTCCAGGCACGGGTGCTTTACGGAGACATGGAACACCTCTGGACTCGCAGACCCTCCAGGACCAGGAACAGGGACCCTTCTTTTAAAACTTTTACATCTTGCTAGGGAGGGACCTTTGGCCTTTTCTTATTTCCTCTCCAGCTGATGCTCTATTTCCAAAGTGGGAAAATGAAAGGCACCCGAAATGGCTCCAATCTCTGAAATCAATACAGAAGCGAAACTGCTCTGAAACCTAAACGTTTGCTACCAACTCGCCAGGTTGTCAATTTCATCAGACGTTAAGGTCAGCCGGGCGGGCAATGCAGCGTGGTACAAGTCACGCGGCAGGAATGTGGATTAACGTCCCAGACATCTTGCTCTCCAACCATCCCTCTCGGATGGAAAGGGCTGCACTGTGAGGCAGCGGAAGAAAGATACAATACTGCCTCCGCACAAAGCTTTTGTTGTTGTTTTTTGTGCATGAGAAAATCCTTAATAAAAGGTTTTAATTTGAGTTTCACCCTATAAGATGTGGGCAGGGCATGCTGTAGTGCTCTTCAGCATGAAACTCTCTCTCCTGCCACGAGGAGCATCAGACCTTGCTGCTGGAGATCGCAGCGGCCGATCCACGTGGGGAAACCTCCCGCTGCTTGTCCCTTTTGTCACTGCGGTCAGTACACAGGGCACACTGCAGTGTGAGGGGAAGCACACCATGTTGCTTTTGTGAGCTGGGAGAGGGACAGCACATTCTCCAGCAAGCTGCGGGGTCACAGCTCTCGACTGATCTCTCCCTGACATTGCTGAAGAGAACAGATTCTGAATGAAAAACACTAAATATATCAGTCGTCACAGTAAAGACCCTTTGAAGCGGAGTGTACTGATTCATCATTATGAACTAAATGAGATAATGCGCAAAGGAACCATTGAGGTTTTTACTGCAGAGGCTACCTGCTGTGTTTTTCTATCTACTCAGCTAAACACACCCCTCTGTGTGGCAATTAGGATGATCTGCACAGAGGCACAACTACAATATTTACAAGGCTGGTAAAATATTTGTAGCATCTCAGGGAACAAAATAGGTGAAAATTGATAAGATCATTCAAGCAAACATTTACAGAGTTGCATTCCAACCTCAATACACATCCTAATACAGCCAACAGAATACTGAGCTCTTCTGGAAGCAGAGGATATTAAGCCTTATAGAAAAACCAACCGCATGTCAGCTTCAAGCCACCTTACACAATCACTGAGGTTTCTAACAATCTCCTACAATGGGGAGGGGGGAAAACGTTCATCAGAAGCCGTGCGAAACACAAAGATAAATTCTGATAAAATACCTGTCTGTACTGCTATACTCCAGCAATAGGAGAAAATTTACCAGTTAATGAGTCTATCAGATCTTACATTATGGGGAAAAAAATGTCAAATGGAAATGCGTCTGCAAAGCTGCAAATTCATTACAAGCTGTTAAGTAGATAAAGAACCTAAGGCTGTGAACCACACATTAGTAAAAGCATATCTAATGTCATTTTAGGACGGATAGAATGGTGTGTGAATTAAAGACTGTCCTCTGATAAATACAACACGCTCCCTTTAGCGGTAAGCTCATCTGCTGGGAATCCTCCTGAACACAAACCACAAGGAAAGACACCACTCGGGTCATCGGCACAGGGCTGCTGCTGCGCTGGCACACGTACAGTAGGTCTCGCTGATCCGTGGCAGGGCACCGGGAACACAGATGAACGGCCAGGGAGGGTTAGAAAGCAACACTACCTGACAGCAGACCAGCAGTTTACCTGTCTGGAGATGGAATGGAATGGGAAGACCTACATTTCTTCCACCAGATCCATTTTCAAAACCGCTTCTCCAAATTTAGGGTCAAGCAACAGGCTCAGCAGCATCCCCCCCTGGACGGGACACCAGTCCACTGCACTGACACAAATGTGCCCTCCAATTTACATTTCCTGTTTCTGGCAATTCAAGTTTCTGCAAAAACCTGTCCAGGTCCTTAAAACCAAACGAGTAACCACTCTTCTTGCAAACAAAGACTTGATGATGATGATGATGAAGTGCCTTTCCAAATCCTAGGATGCTGTACATAGTGATGGAGAAAGACTAACACGTACAGTACAAAGTAAAAGGTATTGGACAGAATGTACGCCAATCAGACACAGGCCGCAGTAAAAAGGTGAGTTGTGAGTTTACATTTTTGATGCTGACAGATATCACTTAAAAGTAAAAAAAAACTCATGTGGTGTTAATCTCAAGATCTGCCGTTTCAACTACAGTTCAAATTTTTTTCCCCCCCAATGATGATCATTAGGTGTCATTAACACTATATATATATATCAGCATTTCTAACAAATGTGACTAGTGACCATCACTTACAAGGCAAAGCATGCTTTTGATGACGAATTCACCCTTTACTCTGCGCCCTATCTTTGCGAAGAAGAAATAAACTCTGTCTGGGCACAAATCTGGGTAAGTGGAGAGAGGAACAAAGAAACGAAGCATTACGGAACGCGAGGAAGAAGGTCACACAACCCGAGACGTCAGCAACGTCTCCCTGCCAGCTGGTCATCACTGCACACTGCTGCCAGTCCCCTCTCAGGAAAGCTCACAAAGCACCAGGCAAGCTGCAAGAACACAAGGAAGGCTGCAAACCAGAGGCCAGTCAGCTCATCAAACCCGTCTGGCTGCTTGGGGGACCTCATCCAGTCATTTCTTGAAAACAAATCAGCGTACAGCATAATAAAACCATTTATAACCTGACCCCGTGTTCATCAGGCTTCACCTAAACTGTACCATGATTTTACTGGGCCATTACCATGGCATATTGCCTTCTTATGAGCAAAAAAGTTAAAAGTCAATTAATCTAGAAGAAGACGTATCTTTTTTGAATGGAGTAAAGAACTAAACATTAAACTCAAAGGTCAAACTGGAAAAGCTACAGCAAAGCTTTCCGGTTCTAACAGCACTAGTTGAGAATAAACAATGACTTAAAATCCAAAATGCACATATACGAGCTTGAGCTGTGATACAGTATATTCATTCCTGAGGAACTTCTGGACAGTCCATTAAATCCCACTACTTAATTACTATAATCCCCTATTTACACCATATGTATTTGGAGAAAGTCTACTGCACCATAACTACAGCAAAATTCATTTAAGAAAAATAATTAACTTTAGTGCATAAGCTCACCCTATAAACTAAACTTATGCTCAAAATGTAAATTGCCTATCATTTCTTTAAAACGGTTTAGCAACTGCTTAAAAACTGCCGCGTTGCGCACTGGAAATTATTAATGCTCGCCAATCTAATTACAATGCACTCAGAATTAGTGCAAATCATTTGCAGAACTGACAAACCAAAACCACTTTAACATCATGTAATCCTTTAATTACTCTTAACAGTTTCAAGAAATTTCAATACTGATAGCACGGACCCAGTGCTGCGAGTCTTCAGCCTTACTACTTTCACAAAAAATGGAGAGGGACATTTATCTATTCCCTTGGTTAATCCACAAGAGATGTTGGCAGGCCTCCTGCTCGTCACTGACGCTCCCCCTGGATGAAGGCGAACAACTGCACAGCAGAGAAAGTGTCCAGAGGGAATTGCAGCTCTGTTCTATACAGGGGTTTGTGGAAATACCGGCCATCACGGGCATCAGAAAAGGGAAAATCCATCTTTCTACCTCCTTACCCGGCCACAGAAATCCCCAGGGGGAGCCAGGCAGCTCTGGATTAGACAGAAGCACCCTAATTTCCCAGGCGTCCTTTAAAGCTTTTTTTTTTTTTTTTGAGCCAGATAAACTGAACTGAACAAAAACTCCCTGATGCTCAGCTTTGGCACCATGACGGGGATGATCAAGAAGGCCTGCTTCCTTTTCGCTGTGGGGTCACCCTGGGTGAGCGAACCGCCCCCAGGCAGCAGACGGAGCGGACAAGTCGGTGCGGCAGCCTGCGTTTTCCCAGCATGCACCTGGCCTCGCCCGAACCCTCGGCCTGGCTTACCTTCACCCTGACGAGCCGCTTGGCCGTTTTGATCTTGGCTTCGCAGAACGCCCCTCGGTACTTGGCGCTCACGTCCGTGCCAACCGTCAAGTAGGGAGGCTCCTCGAGGGTCTGCAGGGAACAATCAACATTTTATATAGCGCCTTTAAAGGTGGCTTCTCAAAGCGCTTTACAGGATGACAACAGCAATAACAGAAATTAACAATAAAAAATACACAAACAATACAAAAGACACAAGAAACACAATGAGAATATGCAGAGGAGACAGCAGATGGTGGTACTAAATACAGTAGGAGCAGAGGGGGTAAAGAATGGAACCAGATAAGTAAGATTCTTCTAAAGAAGAAGGTTTTGAGTCTGGATTTAGAGAAGGCGAGTCTCTGATATCCTTGGGGGGGAGAAGTGCGTTACCCGGGGAGACCAGGCCTGGCCGGGGGGCGAGCTCCTCACAGGCCACACACTGAAACACTCGACCAGCGCGCCGAGGAAGAGCCGGACCGGAAACACATACCAGGACCAGACCCGACGACGCTCTGCTCCGTAAGCAGGTTTTGGAACTGCGACGGAAACTGCCACCATCCCCAAATAACACACGGTTGTCTTGTGCCGCCTTTCTTTTTTTTTTTCTACTTCTACAGTCACGGAGCATTTCCTCCCCTTCTTTGTCACATTGGTCCGGGAAGGCAAATTGTTTGCTTTCACAAAAAGCTCTTTTAACTGGCATCCCAAACAGCTGATTCTTCTCTTATAGAGAAGGACTCTGGACAGCCTGGCTATGAACTCCACATCACCCCCTCCCCTTCCATCTTCACCCTGGCCCTGGAGTCTCCTCCGAGCAACGTCTGTGCTGCAAGCGCATCTTTGCATTAGAAAAAAAAATCAAAACCCCGACCCAGCTACTTCAGGCCAGATACAACAGAAAGACCAGAAGACCTGTCCTGACAGCCGTATCACTGCCTGCTGCGATGACATTCTCCAGACACTGGAAACAATGACTGCTAATCAAGATGAATCTGGAGAGGAAAGATAATGTTCTTTACAGTTGAAGTGGTTGATCTAGTACAGGTCATGAAAAATATATTTCATCATTACTTTGTAACAGCCCTGATGTGCACAAGGGACTCCTTCCGAGAAAAGTTCTAGACCAGAATTTCCCCCAACCCCAGATCTTAGTGTCTAGGACCCAGCTGCCTCTTTAACTCAGCAGCTTAAGGCTGTGTAGAAAGTTGGAGCTGATACATTTCAGCGGTTTAACCTTTCTCCGAGGCGCTGTGCTGATCTTGACTTAAGGACAGCCTGTCCTAGCTTGTTGATGGACAACAAGCATCAGAGAATCCCATGCATATGTTTACTGCTGCTGGGGCTAAGAGCAGCATTCACATAAGGTCAGCAGTGCACATGCAATGAGTGAAGCTGACAGGATACATTATGTATGAGTCTTTAAGGAACAGTACAATGTAGCAGCAAATGCAATGCAAAACTAAATCCCACGTTAAGGGCTGCAGTGAAATGAGATTTGCAGTTCTGGAAAATGTTGACAGGTAAAGGAGTCCCTTATGGACTTGAGCAGTGAGCTGCACAGATTTGGGGACATGCAAGAGGAGGTTCTGTCTCCCATTGTGTTGAGCCTGGACATCAGCAGAGTCAAGAAGGCTTGAATATGCACTTCTGAAGTTAAGAGCTGGACTTCACTCATGCTGAAAGTCCTCAAGATATTGTGCTGTAAAACCATTCAGTGTTTTACCTGCAGTCATTGTAAATTTCACAGGGAGCAAATGTAATTTACAGATCATCCAAGGCCCCACTATATAGCAATTCTGTTTTTGAGCTCCATCACATCTCCAAACATTAAATAATTAATTTTACTGCTCAACCGTTTGAAAGTACTGAGTCAACCCTTAAGTCTCAAGTCAAAATTAAAAAAAAAAAAGATGTTCCTAAGTATGCAAAAGTATTTTCAGGTACAGCAAAATAAAACATCCACCACTCAAAAAGCTATGTTTACATTTTATTGTTTAGAAAATTTTGGTACCATAGGGATGGAAGAGAGGGAAAACAAACACAAGTTATTCAGAGCTTCTGTTGAGAACTTTCACTTCTGAAAGTCTGGATGCAGGGTCAGAATCTAAACCTATAAAAGCATTTTATTGCTCTCACAACTGTTATTGGACTTCACACAGAAAACCTTCTTCTGAACACTGTCCTGTGCCAGATCGTATTTTACAGAGCTATATTTGGGCAAGGATGGCGAGAATGAACACCAGCACTTTCAGCCACGTTTTCTTGACAAGAGATTAAAAGAAAAACCCTTGTGTAGCTGTGGTTAAACAGAAAAGAAACGATGGCTGGTCTGGATGGGGGGAATTCACAGACAACTCAAGGTGAAGCATTAAAAGTTATTTTCAGCCAGGGTGGAAGGGCACAGATTTGAAAACCCAATCCTGAGCCAAACTTCATTTCATTTTCAGCGCTGAACCCATCTCTCCTGGCAGGCATCCCGGTGAAGAAAATTCAGCTCCCCGAGACTTTCTGCAGCTTGCAGGTATTTGTTTCTTCCCCTCTTGCTGCTGTCCAGCGAAACCTCAGTGAATTCCCTTAGTTCTCGGATCAGCGGGTCCGCACCTGTGTACGACCGGACTTCAGGAATGCGGCGCACACTACAGCACAGCACCCCCATACACGACAGCACAACTCGCCTCAAACCCTAAAAACCCCGTTCACATCCTCGCTTCTAGAGTCAAAACACGAATTGTGAAATGGGAGGTTCAAAGGGTCAGAGGTCCTGTCAGACCTCAGATTCTCTTAAATAAATTCCCTAAGTAAAAGTGGAGAAAAAGGTATTTTAGAAAATAAAAAACAGGTACCCAGCACCACCAGGAAAGCTGTATTTCAGCAGAACCACACTGTGGAACTTAAGTTCCTTATTGCTTTTTCTTGCTTAATTCCAAAATAATTGTGCGGCTTCAGCCTGCGTTTTCTCCCACTCGGCAGAGGAGTTTCAGATTTTCTGAATGCAAATGCATCCCCACAGCTCGTGCAATCCCCGGCTCCACTGGATCCACTAGAAGACACCGCAGCCCGTCTCGGAGAGACCCGCAAGCGGATCCGGCGCGTGTCCTTTGCTGGACTGCCAGGGATGTTCAGGAACGGCTGACGCAGAGGCTCCATGGCCCAGAGCTGAAGGGACAGCCCCCTCGCTGCCAAGGAAATCGATGAGCTGGAGCTTCTCTGAATGACGTTCATGGCTTCTGAGCTCCCATTCTTAGCCCTGCAGCTCTGTGGTAAATCGTGAGGCAGCCCAAGCCTGAGCTGTCCGCGGTGAAGGCCTGCTCTTGGCACCTCTGTAACTATGGCAGCAGAGCGTTTTCCTCTCCGATACAGCTCAGGCAGCTGGCAGCTCTTAAAGAGAACGGCTCTGTGCTGAAATGCTGGAACACTGTGGGACTCTGTACGCCAGAGCCCGGAGTTACCAGCTCCACGCACTTTGCTCTCCAGTTAGCCAAAAGTGAATTACAGCACTTGTACCTCTGCCAGCGTCTTTCTAGCGGCAAGCCCTCGCTGACTAGACCAACGACGACTAGTCTAGGAACATTGGACTGGATCCCCGTTTATCAGCTTACACAACAGCATTCCCACAATCCTACTCCAACTCCAGGCCTTTGCAAGGGATGCCACCATGTCTCTGCACAACTCAGGACTAACTGTGAAAATCAATGTTAGGTTGTGCTTTACTGAGGACGTTTGTTTTTTGCCCGAAGAACAAAGATTTCACTTGCAAAAAATATGCACACATTTTGAATACCGAAAACAGATAAAAAAAAGCATGCAGAGTCTTAGTCTTGATCTTATCCTACCAATGCCCATTTCTCCCACAGATGTTCACTTGTAGGCAGAACCTTTACTGCTGGTTTATGGTTTGCCTTTGACAGCAAAGGCCAAAGACTGACAAAACCTGGATGATTTAAAACCTTTTGGCTCCAGCCACAGGTCATTAAGTCTCAGTGCAATAAGGAACTGAAGACACCCAGCCTTCAGTAAAAGGTCTTCAATTCTACCTCTACCCGAGGAAAAGTCAAAGCAGTAATATCTTCTAGATTGACAATATTAAATATCTGAAGCTAAGCAAGGCAGGGCCTTTTCAGTACTGGGGCAGGAAACCTCTAAGGAAAGCCAGGTAGCTTTTATATGTGTATTGGTGGCCCTGCAGGACACACTCCGCCCTCAACACCAGTTTCTAAACCCAATACCCCAGTGTGGCGACTGGGGACATTGTGGTGTGGGAGGTGCTGTCCATCGGTTCAGCGGCTGAACTGAGGGCCTGAGTAGTCATGAAAGATCCCATAGCCTCGTTATCGGGTGGGCGGCAGGGGTCTTAACCTCAGTGTCTTAGTTAAGTATCACTCTGGGCTTGTACAAGCAAGCCTGCCTTAAGGTCCGCCTCGCATCTCTCCTCCACCTGATCGGATGTTCAGTGGGCCCACTGACGGAGAATGCCTACCACGCATCACCCAGATACTACACCTCGGTGTTTGGGAGAAGCAGATGCACTCCTGAGAGAAGCACTTTGACATCAAAAGTGCTATAAAATGCAACAGCGCCTTATCATTACCATTAAAAGAGAAAGAACAGCCATCACAGAATACAAAACATTTGCTCCTTAATATTTGCAGGAAAGAAAAAAACACTTGGCCTTTTTCTTCACGGCATGCTTCATCACTAGAGCTTCCTGGAACAAAGACCTGTGAAGTTCTGCGACTGTGCCGTAAACTTAAACCTGTGAGCAGGCCACTGCACATGCTGTTAAGTCACTGCAAACAGAAAGCTGCCCTGCAGCTACCAAACACATCAAGCTGAGCCAACGAGCCCACTGACATGACAGATCTTCATTGATCATTCCACAACATAAAAATCAGGAAACAAATGACAGGCTGCAGAAACAGGCTTGTATCTTTTGAACGATAGGTCAGCCTTGCATAAGAAATGGCCACTGTGGTAGGACTGTACTTGTCTAGAAGACCGAGTTGTGCTCCTGTCAGAGGATGGAGTACCCTTTTCTAGTACTGCAACAGTTCATTAACACTCAGTATAAAGAGAGGACAAAGTAAACTGAA